ATTAGATCTGTAAAGCTGATGCACACGCAACACTCAGCTTCTGGAGCAGGACTGCAGTTCAGTAGTGGACGAGCAACTAGAACCTTCCGCCAGAGTGTACAGCTGGTGAACGCGAAGAAGAAGAATTCACAAGGACTGAGATCTGGAAGACACTAAGCAACTATGCCAGGGCTATTTAGGTAAGCTACTCAGGGGCTATAAGTTTGAAAATGGGGATCATCACAGGCCAGAGGAAGGAGCCCAAGCATAAACAGGTAATTAATACATTTGGGGCGGGGGTTGATCCTTGGGCTACTTGCTAGGCCTCTGCGGATCATCGGATTTGGCCTGCCCGCAGCCCATAAATAACCCTGACCTATGTAAGGCAAGGCACATAATGATGATAACAGATTGCAAAAAAAGGCTCCATTTTCCAATAGGCAAAGCATCTGTCTAGCATGACGACTTAAAAAAAATTAACAGCTCAATCAGCACATCTGTGATCGGTAGATACAAACCCACACCATGCGGTAGCATGCCTCACTCCACCACATGTTCAAAGTATGCAATAAATATAGTAGTTTCCAGTGACGGTTATGTTCTTTCTGACACTTGACACAGATCCAGCCTCCTTCCATTCCCAAATGACTGACGCCGTGACTCACTGCTTGTCTACTGGCTTTATTGTTGTCTAGTTCTGGATAATTTTCTTGCATATATATTATATATGAAATAAGTATTTGTTGAATTGTGAACTTGTGTTTTTGCTGATAAAGTAAGTCATTTGTAAAGTCCATCCTATTCCCTGTGGCCTAGAAGTTATGAGAGTGTGATAGAAATTACAATAACCATGCCATTGTCTTGTAACCTGTATTATTGTTAAGGATGTCAAGAGTGGAGTGTTAAATATGTAACATCAAAATGCAGACGAACACAGTCATGTCTAAATTACATTTTAAAGATGGCCACCCCACTTTTGACACGCACCAAAGAGGAGAAGCATTTGATTGTCTGTTTTTTAATCTGTGAAGGGGTGAAACCTACAGAAATTCATGGGCGAATTAAGGTCCAGTATGGTAATGTATGCTTATCAGTCCAGCAAGTGTATCAGTGGAGTTAGGTTAGTTGCGTATCCTTTACAGGACGTTGCAGAACCAACCCCAACAGCCCCTGGCTGGTGTGTGGTTTTTCTAGGCAAATTTACATCCAGTAATTTGCCATTGCTTTCTGGACGGTCGGCTTTCTTGATACCACTGTTGAAACCAATGCGAGGGATCGAACCCGGCATTGTGAAGTATTTGCATCGACTTAGCTACAGAGCCGACATCAGTGGAGTAGGAAGGTTTAACTAGGCATGACTTCTGTGATAGACTGTTCATGACCCGGCATGGTTTTTGTAATTTCTAGAACACTTTTAGGATTTTTCATTAAAAGCCATTTCCTATTTTGTTAGTTAGTGTTTCCTCGAGCCTAAGGTGGCGCATAGAGCAGAGGTCAAAGCTCTCAGTGTCTGGTGGTTCGTCGCCACCTGTTTCAGGTCTTGGATGTGCATTAAGAATAAGGCTGAGCCTTCCTTGATGATGGTTCTACACAGTCTCTCTTGTTTTTTCCTGTTTTCTTTTTCCTTCCGTCGGCTCTGTGGCTAAGTCGATGCGAATGCTTCGTAATGCCGGAGTGCCGGGTTTGATCCCAGCTGCGGGCTATGCGCCTTGCGTTGGTTTCCACAGTGGTATCAGGAGGGCCGGCCATCCAGCAAGCAATGGCAAACTACTGGACGTAAATTTGCCTAGAGAAACCACACAACAGCCAGGGGCTGCTAGGGTTGGTTCTGCAACGTCCTGTAAAGGATACGCAACTAACCTCCTTTTTCCTTCCAGTGTCCATATGAGGGCTTGATGGGAAAATCTTGTCTTGTCTATTTAGAGTGCATGGCCAAAGTAGTTCCGGTGGCGCTTTCTTATAAAACTGGCTACATTATCTTGCTTGGTCTCTGTTGAATTTTGCATTTGGATTTATTTGACTGTTTTCTAGTATGAGGTTCACAGGTTCCGTAAAGGCTTGTTTCAATTTGATTTCATCTCTCTCTCGTACACACTTTCCTCTTTTTCTTCTCTCCTCACTGTCACACACTCTCACATGGCCAATTTCCAATTCTCCTCCTATCTCGCTCACACAAACATTACTTCTTCCCCCCCCCTTCTCACTCACGCTTACATTCCTTCCTTTTTTTGTCGTCGTCTCACTCACACAAACATTCCTTCCTTTTTTTTCATTGTCGTCACACTCACACATACATCTCTCCTTCCATCATTCAAACATTGTCCTCTGCATCTACTAAGGTATTTTAATTTGCAATTTGAACAATATCACTAAATAAATTACAAAGACTTTGAATGTCAAAATTAGGTTCCTTTCAGTAGCTTGTGCCTTTCTTTCTTTGTTTTTTGTTAAGTAGTAAAGCGCTATTGGATAACTTTAATTTTTTCCCCCTAAATACTCAGTGAGTACACACACTGTTCAAAGACAATCTATCACGCCTGTGCACACACACACACACACAGTTAAAAGACAATCACGCACAGTCTCTACAGTTAAGGCTGACTGTATTGGATATCCAGTACGCTCTGTCTTTCACCCTGAATGTACACTGTCTCAGACTGCCTTTTGTCCATCTCTTGATGTTTTCCTTCCACTTGTATCACTGTCTACTTATTGCCCACCTGTATTTAACTGTACTCTCCAGCAGTATCAGTTTTCTACCTTTTAACATGGCTGAAACATTTCAACTCTCTCTTTTTGTTTTGTTTTGTTTATATTTCTTTCAGCTATCTTTTTATTCTGTCTCTCCAAAACCTCAGTATGTGATTAAATGAAAACATAGCAGTAATAGTTAGCAACTTTCCATTGTAATTCAAACAGCATAACTAACATATACAAAGCTCGTTATTGTTAAAACAAGAAAAACTTGTGGTTATGTCAGGTACCAAAGTAAAATATATCAGTGTCACAATGGAAGCAATGATAGAGTCATGGTTGAATAAACTGACAACTCGTACAATTTCCAGACACACAAGGTTGAGGGATGACTGTGGCCTCATAAACTGTGATGTATTCTTCTGCCTTTCACCATCTCCTTCTTCTTCCTTTTCTCTAGTCCTCAAATCACCGTTATTTAAATTAGAATTAAACAGATGCAAATCTCAGAAACCCTGTTCCAATTTCCAATTCCAGTTGTCCAACAAAAATTCCAAATTTGATCCTTTTTCAGCCGCCTGGAGGCCTAGCTATAAGAAGGAAGGTTCCTTGGCTATCTTATTTGGTTTCCTTTTATTTGTGGTGTGTAGTCACACCTGATATTCTGGTTCTTTGCTTCCTGAGTCCGGTGTGGTGCTAGGGGTTTTGGGGTCTGGTCTGGTCCAGTTCTCTTAGTGCTGATATCTGTGGGTTTTAGCTGATTGTTGCTGGTGCTTGGTTTACCTCGTGCTGATCGCTGTGCTGGTGCCCTATTGCTGATTGGTTGTCGTTCTGTAAAGCTGCCGGGAAAAGCCAAACAAACACCAGGTCACAACATCTCCAACAATGCTCCTTTTCAGGACAACCAGGGCCGTCACAATCTGTTGTTGTGTTCAGCCCTTTTTTTTGTGTGTCCACAGAGTGGAGAGAAGTAGTGGAGTTAAGATGGGCTGCAAATGAGAGAAATAATTTGCTCCAATGTGCCAGATGTGATATGTCGGAAGAATGAGAGTGACAGATAGTTTGAGAGAGGTGGCTTCCCGACGCTGGTACTTCTCGTAGGTTGAGGCCCCGTGATCTAAAAAAAGACTGAAAGGCATTGTTAACATACATGTGGTTTTGGGGGTAGGGTGGCGTAAGAGAGACTGGAAACCCTGTTTATGTACAACACATTTATAATAGGGGCGGCGTCCGTGGCTTAGGCATTGTGAGTCTGAGTCGTAATTCCAACGTACTGCGATCGAAAAACACTGCTGGCTGCATGGATTTTTATCATGGAATGGGACGTCGCAGGTCCACCCAGCCTAAAATTGGTACCAGGATGGATATTCTGGGGAAGTAAAGGGTGTCAGCGTAATGGTGACCACATTACCCACCTAGTGCCAATTGGTCTGTAAAAATATGGGATGCTCTTCCCATATGCCCAATGTGTCCAAGACGTGAAAACTTATCTTTACTTGTACTTTTTACATTTATAATAGGCCAGGGCTATTCAACTGGCAGCCAGTGGGCTCAATCCAACTGTACTGTATAAAGTGTTCTTTCTATGCTGGGGGTAAGGATCCCTATTGTCAAATTTTGGCCCCTGAGTAAACTTGCTGAACAGTGCTGATGGGAACAGAACAATCTGCAGTCCAATGTGAGTGGGCTAATGAAATTTCCCAACACTGAAGACACGGACAGCTCACACAAGAAACAGCAACACAACCACAACATCTGATAACATTCAAAGACACCATATCACAGGAAGATACAAAATGAAGCCAACAGAAACGAATACACACATATATCGTAGACAGGTGAATTTAGATAAATTCACATTCTTCAAATAGACGGTCATGTTTATCAATAAGTCGGTAATTAATTTTTCTTTATTCTTTCAACTTAAGAATGGCTGGCCAAAAGGTTAAGAATGCCTGGCTCTGATCCTAGAGACCCAGGTTTGAATTCTCAGCAAAGTGATGGTTTTTTTTTTCTTCTGCTGAGGGGTGGGGGATTTCACACAAATGAAATCCAGCAGAGTCTAGGGCAACTGCAATAGCCACGAGGTTCAAGACCCCAATCCATCCCATACTGCCATCAAAAGTGGTATTTACAGGCAGCATAGGACAGTTTTCTTTACTAATTCTTCCAATTTAACCCTTAAGACGAACTGATGATTGCAACTCTCATTACTCCATCAATCATACAAAATTCACCAAAGTTATGATATACTGTATTATATACAATCATTGCTAGGAGTCTTAAAACAGCTGCCACAAACAGTCACATCATCTGACTGGTTGTTTCTAAGAGTTCTCCTCATCTTTTGAACTGTCAGTCTCTGGGTGGATGTACTTGCTGGGGTCAATGATTTTTTGGATGTTTTCTTTCAAGACTCTCTCACTGCACATTGGGCATGTCTCCTCCGTCTCCAGCATCCTGGGGAGCATGGGCCAAAAATGATGATACTGTAGATTTACACCATCCTCATAAAATGAAATAAATGACCCCCCCCTCCTGTGGGTTTGGGTCCCCATTTAAAGGGTGAGCAGAAGGGGGGGGGGGGGGGGAGCAGGAACAGACCTACTGACTCCTCTTTCCCCCACCCCTTTTCCTCCTTTTCAAGCAGGTTGTAAAAGTCTACCAATTAGGGATGTTTTTTTTTTTTTATTGGGAGTTCATCTGCCTGAGAAGCAAGGAAGCAATAGTCTGCACACAAAAAAGCCAGATTTGTAAAATGGATGTGCATGCAAAACTCAAGTTCTGGAACAAGACTAAAATCCAGAAATAGAGACAAAAAAAAACCAGAATATTCTGATGGAATTTGCAGCCCCTGAACACAGAGAAAAAAAAGAAGAAGAAGAAGGAGGAGGAGAAGAAAAAGAAGAAGAAGGAGAAGAATAAGAAGGAGAAGAATAAGAAGGAGGAGGAGAGGAGAAAAAGAAGGAGAAGAAGAAGAAGAAGAAGAAGAAAAAGAAGAAGAAGAAGAAGAAGAAGAAGAAGTAGAAGAAGAAGAAATATGTACCGAATGTTTGCAAAAATATCAATCTTAACAATTAAAGTAAAGAGAGGCGCAGCAGGCATATTATGCTAGATATAATTTTATAGACTAAGGGCACTCGATAGGTGATGTCGTCAACATCACGCTAGCTGCCTTTACTTTCAAGGACTTTGCCCAGTACTAATTTTAAGCTGGGTCGTCACCCTTGAAGCCAAAGTCAATTTTGAAAACAATTCAACTCGTTGCAGACTCAAACCCAAGATCTTTGGATAGGCTGGCAAGCATCTAGCCCCTACAGTAGCATGGCTCCCATATGTAGATCTATTTACACATATATATATAATAATACTCATCAAATGCACACACTGTTTATTATTCAGTTTTATTTTTTCTAACCTCAAGTGTAGATACTGTTCATTATCCAAATCCCTCTTCTGACTTACAATATAGTGTGTTTACTATTATATTCAGTTGTATTGATAAGGAGAACTGGCTCATAAACAGCATCCTCGACCAAAAGCTGAGGTGTTCTGGACATGTCAAGTACTAGGGTGGTCTGGAGAGAACGGTGATGGAAGGTGAAGCTTCCAGAAAAATGAGGCAGAGGCTGACCTCCCTAATGTGGATACCAGTCACTGAAGATGCACTGACTTCTTCTTCTTCTTTGCATTCACCAGCTGTAAACTCTGGCGGAAAGTTCTGGTTGTTCGTCCACTTCTGGACTGCAGTCCTGTTCCAGAACCTGAGTGCTGCATGTGCATCCGTTTGACAGATCTGACTAATTTATATGCAGACTGTTGGTTCCTTGCCTCTCAGGCAGATGCACTCCGACTTTGAAGGAAGCTCCAATTAGTCTACTGTTACGACATGCTTTTGGGTAGATCGTGGGTCTATTCTTGTTTTCCCTATAATAGGGCCTCGGAACTCACACTGAGAGATGCACTGGCTATGAAAGCACATAGGGCTGGAGAGCTGGCTAGAGAAAGAGAGATTTTCAGGTCTGCTATGACAACAGCAAGTTCTGTAAAAGACATGCTGATTCACTGATTGATTTAGTATTTCTCTTCTATTTAAGGGCGTAGACACACCTGATGATGATAACTGTTCTTTCCTTTTCTTATTTTAGGTACAGAATTAACCTTTGGGGTTGCATAATCTTTACTCTTCTACTCTAGGAGTTAACAATATGTTAATAGGTTCAATGTTTTCTCTTCTAATGCAAAATCTAGAGATGCCATCAAGGTTTATTCCGCTTCCTTTACTGAAAAATAGGTAGTTTTTGTAGCTGCTTAGTTTGTGTCAGCTTGACAGAAATAGAAAATACAAGTCCAGAATATTCTATAAGCTTTGTTGTAGTCACTGTGAAGGCGTGATGATGATGATGATGATGATGTGAAGGTCAACTGTGACAAATAACACATACATGCTGAACTAGGGGACAGAAGACAGAAAAGAAATCTTACTTGAGAAACTCGCTATAAATGGCAGGAAAATCACAGCTGGGACAAACACAGAAGTCTTCTTTAAGTACATGGCGACCCTGGAACAAGAAAAACCATGTTAAAAAAAATATAGATATAAAAATATTAACACAGTGCAACAATGGGTAAATTTTATGCTGGTCTCCCCATTTAAACACCACTACACACTAGTTCGCTTCTGATTGGACGACCTACATACCAACTCACTTCTGATAATCGGCCTTGAGCGATCCGACTTTACACAAGGTCATGGGGAGATACACAAGAGGGTGCAATTTGCGCTGATAAAGTTCCTTCTGTATATAGTGCAAAGGTTCTGCAGTAACTGTAGAAACCATGTGTTCTTAGGGAGATCTTTCTGTGTGTTCCACATACAACAGATGTTAGAAACCATGTTACACATACAGCAAGATCTAGAATGAGTTACATAAACAAGAGGGTAGAAACCATGTGTTAAAAAAAGGGATAAAGAAACCATGTGCTCTCAACTACAGGGAGATGTAGAAACCATGTGTTACACATACAGTAGATGTAGAAACCATGTGTTACACATACAGGGAGATCTAGAAACCATGTGTTACAAATACAGGGAGATCTAGAAACCATGTGTTACACATACAGGGAGATCTAGAAACCATGTGTTACACATACAGGGAGATCTAGAAACCATGTGTTACACATACAGGGAGATCTAGAAACCATGTGTTACACATACAGGGAGATCTAGAAACCATGTGTTACAAATACAGGGAGATCTAGAAACCATGTGTTACACATACAGCAAGATCTAGAAACCATGTGTTACACATACAGGGAGATCTAGAAACCATGTGTTACATATACAGGGAGATCTAGAAACCATGTGTTACACATACAGGGAGATCTAGAAACCATGTGTTACACATACAGGGAGATCTAGAAACCATGTGTTACAAATACAGGAAGATTCTTCTCTCAGCTGCTTTGTTAATTTCAAAGAAAAAAACACTTGCATAAATAAACAGAGGGGGAACCCTTGAGGCCGTTAAATATTTTATATGAATACAGTAACAGAAAATGTATTGATCAGGACACATAGAAAGAATTTTCTGTTACTTTATTCATAAAAAAACATTTGGGACTAAGCATGATGCAGAAGATAAAAGGTAATCTATCCGCCTGTAACAACTTCACTTCCACTAACCTGTTGCAGCTCTCTGTTTGGTATGTACTGAACAAGAACAAAAGGTAAGACAAACACACAAATGCTTACAGTAATAATACAATAAGCAATATTGTTCTTGCAGTCGGGACACAGCAGCTCTGTCTCTGGAAGCTGAAACCCACAAAATGGACACGGAGACACAGGCTCATCCTCCTCACTCTTGTCCGGCTTGCGCACAATCATTTCAATCTTCCGTTTATACTTGAGATCAATGTCGTTTCTGTATTCAGGTCGCATCAACATTGCCGCATAGCTGAAGGAAGAGTTCTTGAGGCCAGCTCTGTGACACTCAATTACGGTTGATGTCAGTATGGGAACGATGTCTGTAACAAAAACAATCATTATTTAAAAAAATGACTGAAAAAAAAAAAAAAATGGAAAAAAAAAGCAGCCTGGATGCTCAATAAAAGGAAATATACAGACTTCTTCTTGTTTGTCCTGATGCTTATGCCATGAAGCATCTCTGAGAAGAGTTAGATGTAGTTAATACACAGACAACAAGTGAATATTTAAATGAAAATCAATGGACAGAACAGGAATAATTTACCTATCCTTTACTTCATAATAAACAACAGATTGGATGAAGGCTTTGTACCTACCTGCATTAATTGGCATCTTTCAATATGACAGTGTTATGTTGTCCTATAGCGAGTCAAGGCAAGTTCCCCCCTCCAGAGCACAAAGCCTGGCTAGTACTGCAGAGACCATGTGTTGCCATGCAACACAATTACTCTATTGACCGGCAAGGAAAGGTGACACTAATACATTTGGAACAAAGCCTGCTGGTCGGGGAAAACCGAGCTCTGTCAGATCCACCTACAGCATATCAAGTTGAGATTCATTCAGAAAGACAAAAACTGACTCATAAAGTCATGCACATACACACCTGATGTAAAAGCAGAACTTACGAGATGGAAACTTGCTGATGTTGTTAGCCACACGTATTAACATCCTGGCTCCTTTCAAATGGTCTCCTCGCTTGACATGGATCTGTAACAACATATTCCATTAAAAAATGCCATAAAAACAATATGTAACAATATGTACTATAAAAAGATACCATAACAGCAATACTTAACAATATGTATTATAAAAAGATACCACAAAAACAATATGCACCATCATATACTATAAAAACAATAAGTACTATGAAAAGATACCATAAAAACAATATGTAAACAACATGTACCATAAAAAGATTCAATAAAAACACTATGCAGCATTATCTAACAAAATATACTACATTAAAAAAAAAACTTCCCATAAGCCTACATACAAGCTAGCGGTGGAGACCAAACTGAGGTAAAGGATGGAAGAATAGAACGTTCTTTCACTATCCTGGGTGAAGCCGGGCAATTTAATCTAATGTACTATAAAAAGATAATAGATAAAAAGCAATATGTAGCAAACCAACATGTAACAATATGCACCATAAAATATACCATATAAACAATATGTAGCAATATGTAACAATACTTAGAAAGTGGCTATGCCCATCTTTGATATAATTTCACTATACTATTCTATGTGGCTGAGTGGACTGGTTAACAAAACATATGTTATATTTATAGTTTTCTATACAATATAAGCACAATATTTGAAACAGGTATCATCAATATCAAGTGACTTGCTGACTGGTGTGGGTAATCGTGCCCCTTCACATAGTGAAATAGCTATGTAAGTAGAAAAAAAGACAGTGAATCCCTCTCCAGGCAACAGGTATATAGCGTTCCTTGGATATTTTCTCTGGGGATGCAGGAGTGTTGGGAAATGAACACGCAGACACACTGGCTAGTTCTGCACCAATGGATGGAGAATTTACACCTGACATGCTAGAGGTGGTCAAGGCACTTTGGAAGCAAGTGAACAATGTGGAGGCACAAGTAGATCATTATGGTCTGAAGAGAATGGTGAAGCTAGGAGTGACAAGGGGATCTGGTCGACACTCTACACTCAGAGGAAACGTAAGATGGACATATAATCAATCTACTACTGGCGCCATCAGAATTGCAACTTCTCACTGGGTGCTGAAGATGAGAATGGAGTGCTTATGAAGAATATCTAGAGTACTGCGATGTCAATTGTTAGCTCAACACTCCCTTTCATCTCAGTGGTGCCTCGAGCATTTGGCGCTACACCAGTGTTTCTCAACCTTGTTTACACCTGCGGGCCACCAAAACCATGGAACTGGTTTCGCAGCCCACCTGGCAGCCAATTAAACAGAAAAGCAAAACTGATGCCTGTAATGCCACCTTGCTTTGCAGGAATCATTTAGATGCTACATGAGTTATTGTCCTTATTCCCAGACAGACTGGACTACATGTTACATAACTATCAGGTGGTTACATAACTGTCAAGTACTGTAATGTAACCGTTTTATGCGGCTGAACTGAATTTCCGGGATTTTTCCCTGTTTGATTTTCATTGCTGAAGTGTTAAATTCTACAGACTGCAATTGTGGAAGAGTAAAACTACGTATTCTACCCTGTTACATCATTAGGCAGACATGACCATCTGTATTAGAACTCTGCATTGGCTGCTGAAGATGAGGATGGCGCATGCACAGGAATGCCTCGAGTGCTGTGATGTCAATTCTTGAGACTCGACTTAACTCATCTAGGTAGACACATTTTGGTGACACACTAAGACTTTTCCATGGCCCGCCAGTGGAGCAGTGTGGGCTGTAGACCACCGGTTGAAGAACACTGTGCTAGACCACTCTGGCACTTTTTCCCCTTACCTCCTCCCTTTCTCTTTATCTTTAACTACTTTGTTTTTGTTTTGTTAAACTCTCCTCTCCTTCTCACCTTTACTAATATGTAACTGTGCAGTATCATCAAGTTTGTGGCCATTTCTGCAGGAATCTTGATCTTGTTCTGCTTCAGCTCCTGGTACATACTAAACAGGACATCGTGAGCATTGCGGTAGTTCCCTGGATGACCATCACAGATAAGGATACATTATTAACTCTTTGAGTCCCATGAAACGCATCATATGTTCATCGGTTCCTACCTAGAACCCCAATGAACGCATGATGCACCGATTTATTACGTTCTTTACTACCCCCTGGGCCTGTGATGCTAAACCCCCTGGGACTCAAAAAGTTAAGTAACTGAACAAGTTTTGCCCATCCCATGTTTTAAACTAGTGGCTCCTAATAAGCTAAGACGTGCGGACCCCTTTTATTTGTGGTCATTACCAGACCCCATATTTTTTTAATAGTTAAACAAAAGAATTTTGTATAATTTATAAATATTCTTCTTTTTCACCAGCTGTAAACTCAGGTGGAAAGTTGGGATGTTCGTCCACCTCTGGACTTTAGTCTTGTTACAGAACATGAATATTGTGTGCACATCTGTTTCACAAAGCTGGCTTTTTTGTAATCAGACTGTTGGTTTTTTGCCTCTCAAGCAGATGCACTCTATCTTCGAAGAAAGCCTCCAATGAGTTGATTCATACATGCTTGTTGGAAGGCTGCAGCTCTATTCTTGTTATTCCTACAATGGGGCTTCAGAACCCGCACTGGGAATTTATAAATATTAGAACTGCATGAAATGGACTGCATTTTTTGAAGCTCTTGTTTAAAAAAAAATAATATAAAAGATATCATGGACCTCTTAACCTCTTTTGGTACCAAGCAACTCACCATGTGTTTCTTACATTCTACCTACATGATCTGCTTCTTAACTCTCTGCATCCCCTTCAGACGCTATACTAACCTACTTTTTCCCAAAACATGACTACAGTTACGTCTTCCTCAGGATGTTACAATTGTCACGTTCTCATTAGTTTAAGTATACACTCTCATGGCTTCCTATTCTGTAGCATATCTATATATATGTATTATTATTCCTAATCCTCAGTTAGCACACATTTTTTGTTGTTTGAACCTGATTTTCGGTGCCTTGGACTTCATGTTAACGAGGTTTTACTCACGGATGCACACACGCACACACACCCAAACACAGAGAGAAAGAGAGTAAAACCTTGTCAACACTGAAGTCCAAGGGGCCAAAAATCAAGTTCATGTAAAAAAATAAAAAAAACGTCTGCTAACTGGGGACTAACAATTATATATATATATATATATATATATATATATATATATATATATATATATATATATATATATATATATATATATATATATATATATATATATATATATATATATATATATATATATATATATAAACAAAAAAGAAACAAGAAAGCGAACGGGCAAATACCTGCGTTCTGCTCCTCCCTGGCAATGATGATGGCCGTTCTAGCTGCTTCCCCAAACCTCTTCAGAGCCATGTACAGACGGAACAGGTACTTGGCATCCTGCAATCAATCAATGAGACAAACTCCCAGCATGGTATATGTGCACATTACCACACAACTGCACAGTAACCATACAACTGCACAGTAACCATACAACTGCACATTAACCATATATCTAAAAAAAAAAAAAATGCCCTCTTCTTAGCTTCATTGTCTTTGTCTTCTCTTCTTCTTCTTTCACCACCTCTGATGTCAAGGAAAATATAAGGTTCTGCTTCTAGCTCTTCTGGCTGCCTAGACCACTGCCATGTCAAACTGTTGTAGAGTTTTTGCAATACAATCTGTGGTACTTAATTTATAACTTACCCCTGACGTCACGACTACGTCACGGGAGACAATCCCAATAAATTCTAGGGGTTTCAGGTTGTAGTTTCTCTCGATTTATCTACAGCCAAGTTTAGGGTTAGGGTTAGGATTAGGGTTAGGATTAGAAGACACTAGATGAACACTCAAAAAAAAAACACCAAGCAACAGCACACTTGCACCCCTTGAAATAATGGACTGTCAGGTCAGCTGTGGATTTCCCACGGGGATTTCGTGTTTGGGGTACGTTATAAATTAAGAACCCAATCTGTTCATCTTATTTTGGTCTACCTCCTGCCCTAAGTGCCTCTCCTATTTTGGTGTTTGCTTTGTACCGAGAGGATTATAGAGTTATTAATGCCAATATCTGCTCCAGGTGAAGCACTTGAAGAAAAGAAGGAAAGAAGAAAAGGAAGCACAAAAACAGGAAAAAGCAACAGCAGGAGGAGGAGGAGGATGGAAAAAAAAGGTCAGGGGGTGGGGTGGGGGGTGTTGGAGCTAGTTTATAACTTGTATATCCAAGTACTGCCACCTGGGTTTAAATTGATGCCAACATCCATGAAAATCAAACCCTCTAAGGACTGAACCATCTAGACCTCCAATTGTGTAACACAGCAAAATAAGTGAACACAACAACTGTGACGTCCTACTTTTGGTGTGCCATCGACGTCCCCCATGAGAAAGTCCACAAGCTGTTTGGTCAGTGCGTCGTCATTGGCTCGTCCAACTGTCTCAATGGCCAGTTCTACTGCTTGTCCATCTTCAGAGTTGCACTTGAGGAAATGTTTCATTGCCTGTAAATGCCACACACAAATAATTTTTAAACATAATAAAAGTGGCAGGAAATTAGCTTTGACTAAGATCACAACCTTTGCCAAGTTAGAAGATCATTTAAAAATCAAAGTCATGAGATAAAGATAGTCATATTTATTGTACAAAAAGAAATTGTAGTGAAAAAAAAAAATTGCAATATTAAAATTTTCAAAATCCCAAAAGTATACGGTATACAATTTAAACAAAAAAATAGACTGTTAAAAAATGTCCCCAGTATTTTACAGAAGATTGTATAAGATATTTATCCACTGGTTCACAGAAGATTGTATAAGATATTTATCCACTGGTTCACAGAAGATTGTATAAGATATTTATCCACTGGCTCACAGAAGACTGTATAAGATATTTATCCACTGGCTCACAGAAGATTGTATAAGATATTTATCCACTGGTTCACAGAAGATTGTATAAGATATTTATCCACTGGCTCACAGAAGACTGTATAAGATATTTATCCACCGGCTCACAGAAGATTGTATAAGATATTTATCCACTGGTTCACAGAAGATTGTATAAGATATTTATCCACTGGTTCACAGAAGATTGCATAAGATATTTATCCACTGGTTCACAGAAGATTGTATAAGATATTTATCCACTGGCTCACAGAAGACTGTATAAGATATTTATCCACCGGCTCACAGAAGATTGTATAAGATATTTATCCACTGGTTCACAGAAGATTGTATAAGATATTTATCCACTGGCTCACAGAAGATTGTATAAGATATTTATCCACTGGTTCACAGAAGATTGTATAATATATTTATCCACTGGTTCACAGAAGACTGTATAAGATATTTATCCACCGGCTCACAGAAGATTGTATAAGATATTTATCCACTGGCTCACAGAAGACTGCATGATATATTTCCAGAATGCGCGAGTTACACAAAAATGTGAAAGATGTACTACTCACTTTGGAGTACTGTCCACTCAACAGGAAGAACTTGCCAGCAAGGAAATGCTTCTTCTCATTCTCAAAATAAACAGCTATACTCTGATAGTCTTCCCTGGTGGCGTCCGAGCCTGGGGAGGGAAAGATGCATAAAATTAGAATAACAGCACAAACATATAACTGATCATGCTCACAACAAACAGCTATACTTTGGTAAACTCTAAGTGGTCTTTAACTCTTTCTGCCTGAAACAATGCAAAAACACTGGGTTATATTCACGTGTACCTATGAACAAGCTATGTAAGTTTTCACATCTTATGTTCAGTGAGGGGCTCTAAAAAAGAATACTGACAACATATCTGTTTCCTGCAAGGGTTGTATATTTGGAAGTAGTATACCCATGACCAGTGCTAAACATGGAGCCTTTCTACAACTAATGGGCACAAGATCGTAACTACAGAGATGAGATGTCTTAGGAGAGCTGCCGGTGTGACAAGACGAGATAAAATCAAGAGTGAAGAAATTAGAAGAAGACTAGGACTGAAACCAGTCACACAATTCATTAAAGAACAATAAATGAGATTGTTTGACCAGCTGACGAGAATGCCTTGGTACCAACTGCCACAGAGAGCCAGGCTAAAGAAATATAATGAACACAGAGCAAGGGGAAGACCACACAAGATATGGAGTGATACCATGAGGAGCAACCTAAGAGAAATGAACACCAACTTGTACAATGCATTGGAAAAAGCGCACAAACAATCCTTACATCTCCCCCCAACACCTCGCTGAGGTAAATGGTGAAAAAGAAGAAGCAGTATACCCATGAGTTTAGTATTGCCATTTGTAATTCCCTCAGATATTTGCTAGGACCGTGTGAGACTGAAACATTTTATATTTCTGCCTCTTTCTGTATTCGCGCATTAATGGGTGGTTAGCATATTGTGTTGAGGTTTAAAGCTAAACTGCAATATCTCTGCCTCTTGTCCTAACACATCCAATTTCGACAAACTCTTAATTAGTCACTTTTTACCGCATGCTTGCTAAGGGGTAGCAGATGCATTCTTGTTCTCCCCAAAATGTGGCCCTGGAACTTTGATTAAAGTTAAGATGCCTGTCTAGTAGGTGTGGGCTTCCAAATGGCTCACGATAACCTAAAATGTAAATATTTGTTCTGGATTATATGCGAGTGCGTGGGTATGAATATGTGTATGTATGCGTATATATGAGTGTATGGGTGTGCAGACATGGTGGGTATACACGTTCGTGTGAATGTATGATAGTTTCTGCATGGGTATATATGAGTGAATGCATGCATATATGAGTGTGCGTGTATGTGTATGTATATATGAATGCATATACCACCCCCTGCCTTTGTGTATTTGCCTTGATATTCACATTATGTATATTGTTACATGAATACAACATACTTTATAGATAAAATACAACTTCTGTGTGAAAGATGCGTGCCTGGCAGAGCCGAATGTAAGATGGGCCTGGGTGCCCAATTTGTGACCCTCTAAAAAAAACCAGTTTATTGATTGATTCTCTTCTGGAGATATGACTTCCCAACATTGTGGTACTAAGTCATCAGAAGTAACCATGACAGCAGCAGACACAGTACTCACCTATAATGTCTGCATAGGTCTCCATCTGTCGATGTTGCTGGGCCAGCTGAAACGCCTCATCATTGCAGTGAGACATCACAAGGAACTGGATGGCAGAACCATAGTCATTCAAGCGCTGGAAGAACCTGCCCAAGGGATTGATAATCAGTGTCAGTGACATGAATCAGCCTCGGAGACAACATCCCTGATACAGACATTCAGCTCACAGAAACAATAAAATCAAGTAAAGCACAACAGGATATCTTTGCATCTATTCTAGCATGTGCACCTGAGGTAGCATAGTAGCAAGATGCTTGCCTGCCAGCCTTGAGGTCGTGAGTACAAATCTGCACTGAGGTGGATGTTTTCAAAATTGACACTGACTTCCAGATTCAATCTAAAATGGGAACCAGGTAATTTCCTGGAAAGTAAAGGCGGCCGACACAATGTTTACTACATCACCCACTGAGTGCTCCAGGTCTACAAAAATATGTTAAGTATGATGTATTAGTGGTGTACAAAGCACCCTTTACTTATTTTTTAAATTCTATGCCAGGATTCTGAAAAGAGAGAAAAAGAAAGTCAACTAACAGGCACCGAGATGGGACATAGAGGGATTGAGAAATAAAGAACATCCAACAGAAATCCTAAGGAAAACATAGATGACAGAAGCCAAACATGCTGGACTGGATTCCATCCATGATACTGAAGTAACTGCACATGATAGAATAGAAAAGAGAGAAAGATTGATTTGATTTGATTTGATTCAAGAACCGACATGACAGCATTCGGAGCATTCCCATAAGCGCTCCGTCCCTATCTTCCGATACTAATGCTGCCAGTAGCTTTCTGATTAAACGTCCGTCTTGCCTTTCCTCTGAGCCTCGAGCATCTGCCAGAACCTCCTGTCACCCCCAACTGCATCATTCTCAATAGAGAAAAAGAATGCAAGCCAATTGTGACACATAATGGCACAACAGGACAATGAAACTATTCCAGGATGGGTCACACACACACACAGGATGGTACACTTGAGTTAAAACGGAAAATGTTAACATTTATAATAAAATTTGCTTGCTCTCGGCATTGTAACTGCGAAGATTTATGACAGAACATATTTCATATTCTGGACCATGACAAACGAGGTAGAGTAATAGCATCTTTCTGCATTGCCTCACCCCAGATTCATCAGTCAGCGTGTCCTTTACAGAATATCGCTAACCTCGCGGCACACCTGAAAGTATCCCTTTCCCTTGTCAGCTCTCCAGCCCCTCGCGCTTTCAAAGCCAATGCTACTTCAATGTCTTGTATCCATCCTCGCAGAGGTCGACCCTTGCCTCACTTTTCACAAAGTGCACCCTAGATCACCATCTTTTCTAAGCCACCGTGATGTTTGATATGGCCAAAATATTTCAACTTTTGGGACAGGAAGCTGTCTATAAGCCAGCTTTCCTTGATGTTTACCTTACATAGAAAGTCCATGTTTTTTCTTTTCTTGATGCATGGTATCTAGAGAAGTTTTCTGCAACATTTTAATTCAAAAGCACCAATCTTTTTCTTCAGTGACTGAGTGAGAGTTCAGGACTCACAGCCATAATTTGCCACAGGAAAAATGCATGATTTTCCCAGGTTAGGTTACTTTTGTATCCTTTACAGGACGTTGCAGAACCAACCCCAACAGCCCCTGGCGGCTGTGTGGTTTTTCTAGGCAAATTTATGTCCAGTAGTCTGACAATGCTTTCTGGACGGTAGGCTTCCTTGATACCACTAAAAAACCAATGCAAGGCGCATGGCTCGCAGCTGGGATCTTCAACCCGGCATTATGAAGCGTTCACATCGACTCAGCCACAGAGTCGACTATCTCCCTAGTGTATTGTAATGTGCTCATCTAGGGGCATGTATTGTTTACATTGCTTTCAGACGAACAGTGGGTTGAAACGACACAGCATGAACGAATATTGAGTTCTTTGCTTTTATTCGTTGAATCGCCAGTTATCACAAACGTACATTCATGCTTCCTCGTGCTCGACTTGCTTGGCTGAATCTAGCGACCTGGACGGACTTCCCACACACTACAGGAATTTATCAGCACCTCTCGAACCATCCATCTATACTTCATGGACTCGGATATCTGACATTACGACGTATGGGAAAACATTCAATCCTCCTATTGAAATATAACGTTCACTTGACAAATCATTTATTCTTCTCAGGCGTTCATTCACGCGTCCTCTCTCAGTCAGGGCCGAACTTCAACTGTCTTACTTCAGTCTCTCGGTTCACGTCTTCCGTTCACGTCTCATGCTTTTCTTGTGTCTCTCACTTCGTTTACCATGAGACACACGAGACTCACTTCTCCCGTTTTTCTCTTCTCTCACGTGTCCTCCGACCTTTTTCTCCCCATCAGGAACTCTCTGGGGTTTCCCCGGGAATTCACAACATTACATGTATCATCATCAAATTATGAGAATGGTCAAACTCATTTTAATTTTTTCAAAATGGTTATTCTCACTCTTTGGTGTGTGTTATTATAGCTTTTGGGACTAAACAAGTTAACACAACTTTATTAAAATATCAAATGCACAACAGGTGCTGCAGACCAAACAAGTGAAGAAATGGGTCAATGGACACATCTTACTTGGCTACCATCTTGGCTCCCTCTACCGACTGTGTCTCCCTAACTATCTTCACTGCTTCTTCTGGGTTCTGCAGGTGGTCCAAATTGATTCTAGAAAAGCAAAAAAAGCAATGTTTCAATCACAAAGAGCAAGCAGACAAGGCCAACAGTTCAAAACAATGTTTTTCCCTACTAAATTTAACTTAATGTGGACATAAACAATACACTGCACAATTTATTGCAAGGCATATTTCGCTGTAATTCATCAGGTGCATTACTTCAGTTACTTTAGTACTCAATTAAATAAATTAATCCTTTCCACAGAAATACACAGAGCCTTGTAATTAAAATGAACAATCCTGCGTTGTGCAAACAAAAAGAATATGCGATAAATTTGAAACTGCCGTGGTGATCACATGGCTAATTTTGAATTTCCAGCATTGAGGTTAACACTGTAATAAGAGGCATTGTTGAAGTGTGTATTTAAGAGGAAAATATTGATTTTTGGTGTGTTTTCTTACACACTGATGTAATTATGCAGGAATACACCTGAGGAACTTCAGTACAATAAAGTGTGCAATATACTGTTTGTGTCCATATTATTTAAAGGCAAACTGTGTTAAAGTTATGTCACAAATAGAATTAAAAAAACCATAAGTATGTTTATGCTTTAATGTATATACCGACTGCTAACCCAGTCAGTCAGCAAGACACATGATAATGATGACATTTAAACATCAGTTTTTTTTTTCGTCAGTCCAGTAATTACAGTTATAAGTTCCTACATAGGCACATTTTTAAAACTGACAAAACTTCAGCTAGACTCACCCTAAAAGTGGTAACAGGAAATGTTTTGGCGAAATAAAGGTGGTTGGAATAATACTGACCCCAGCTTTAAAGTAAGGATTGGAACTACTCCTAAATGTGTAAAGAAGGCTAAGGCTCCCTCCCTCCCCCCTCCGCCATGTTTAAAAGTCCTCTTGTTAAGTTGTGTATTTTTACATATCATATTATTTCAAATGACAAATCTTTGGACCTATCAAAGATGTAAACAACGGAAAATGGAGAGTGAGAAGCAAAAACAGAATTCAAAATCTGTTTAAATCACCACTGATAACTGGCACCATGTAATAGACTGAACTGGTTGGGGCATATTGAGAGAATGTCAGATGACAGAGAGGTAAAAACTATATACACAAGGGAGATAAATGGTCGTAGACCACGAGGCAGACCGTGAAGACTATGGATAGATAATATCCAGACAGACCAGCAAACACTTGGTGTTACCAACTGGAAAGAGAAAGCCAACCAGAGAGATGAGTGGAGGCAGGCGATATCTGCAGCAATAAACCTCAAGGACTCGGAACACTGAAGAAGAAGAAGAAAATATTATTTCAATTATATTACTATATTTATTTGCCATTCAGAACGTTATTATTATTATTATTATTATTTTTACTGTTTATAATTATTAAGCACTTGAACAAGGCTCAGGCCGCCCTTGAGATCAGCAGAAAATATGTAACTAGGCCTCCCGACTATACAAGAAAACCAACCATACCTAATGACATTGTCCCACTCTTTGGCCATCTTGTATGCCTCAGCTGCTTCCCTGTAGCGGCCATCTGCCTCTTTGGCTTTAGCATACTGTGCATGTATCTTGGGGGATGTGATTTTGGAGAGCAGCTCTCCTACCTTGTTCCTAAAGAGAATGATATAACAGTCAACATAAAGAATTGGTTCAAGAACTTCTTCTTCTTCACTTCCTCTTTTACCGCTGTGGGTGTCGAGGGAGATATAAGGCTCTGTTTCTAGCTCTTCTGGCTGCCTCCACCATAGGCACATCGTGCTGTTGTAGAGTTTCTCTGATGTTATCCTTCCATCTTGTTCTTGGTCTACCCCGTGCTCTACGTCCTTCTTCTCTTTCCATGTTCAATGTCCATGCTCCAGAACAAATCAGAAATGAATCAAAATTAACTGTTTCATGATCAAGGTCTGTGGTGTAGCTGCTAGACACTCGCATGTGAATCGGAAGGTCCTGGGTCTGGGTCTTGGTAGAAGCAGGCTTTTTTTTTTTTACCTTCAGAAATGACCTTGGCTCCCAGGTCAACCCAGCAGTGCAGTCCTGGGAAGTAGAGGTGACCGGTGTGATGTTGACCACATCACCCACCAAGTGCCAACTGGTCTATAAAGTATAGGTCTAGTCTCACATGCCAAATACGCCAGAAGACATGGAAAAGGGGTTTGTTTACTTACTACCTAGGTTACTCTCCATATGTTTACTGGTTACAATATGAATGGAACAAATTTCTGTACTTTTCCTATCTGATTAGTCTGTTAATAACCCCCTTTTTTTTCCAGTTGTTATAACACTTTCTTTCCAAGTGCTGTATGTTTTCAGCTCTATGAAACTAAACCATCGTTGCTCTAGGATACAACCAGTTTTGCATAAACATTGTTGAATTCAACACTATGTGGGACTGAAACAGTTAAATAAGATAAATTCAACACTATCTGGGACTGAAACAGTTCAATGAGATGAATTCAACACTATCTAGGACTAAAAACAGGTCAATGAGATGAATTCATCACTATCTGGGACTAAAAACAGCTCAATGAGATTAATGTAACACTATCTGGGACTGAATCAGTTCAATGAGATAAATTCAACACTATCTGGGACTGAAACAGTTCAATGAGATAAATGCAACACTATCTGGAACTGAAACAGTTCAATGAGATGAATTCAACACTATCTGGGACTGAAACAGTTCAATGAGATAAATTCAACACTATCTGGGACAGAAACAGTTCAATGAGATGAATGTAACACTATCTGGGACTGAAAACAGTTCAATGAGATGAATTCAACACTATCTGGAACTAAAACAGTTCAATGAGATGAATTCAACACTATCTGGGACTGAAACAGTTCAATGAGATAAATTCAACACTATCTGGGACTAAAAACAGTTCAATGAGATGAATTCAACACTATCTGGGACTAAAAACAGTTCAATGAGATGAATTCAACACTATCTGGGACTAAAAACAGTTCAGTGAGATGAATTCAACACTATCTGGAACTGAAACAGTTCAATGAGATGAATTCAACACTATCTGGGACTGAAACAGTTTAATGAGATGAATTCAACACTATCTGGGACTGAAAACAGTTCAATGAGATGAATGTAACACTATCTAGGACTGAAACAGTTCAATGAGATGAATTCAACACTATCTGGGACTAAAAACAGTTCAATGAGATGAATTCAACACTATCTGGGACTAAAAACAGTTCAATGAGATGAATTCAACACTATCTGGGTCTGAAACAGTTCAATGAGATGAATTCAACACTATCTGGGTCTGAAACAGTTCAATGAGATGAATTCAACACTATCTGGGACTGAAACAGTTCAATGAGATGAATTCAAAACTATATGGAACTGAAACAGTTCAATGAGATGAATTCAACACTATCTGGGACTAAAAACAGTTCAATGAGATGAATTCAACACTATCTGGGACTGAAACAGTTCAATGAGATGAATTCAACACTATCTGGGACTGAAACAGTTCAATGAGATGAATTCAACACTATCTGGGACTGAAACAGTTTAATGAGATAAATGTAACACTATCTGGGACTGAAACAGTTCAATGAGATGAATGTAACACTATCTGGGACTAAAAACAGTTCAATGAGATGAATGCAACACTATCTGGGACTAAAAACAGTTCAATGAGATGAATGTAACACTATCTGGGACTAAAAACAGTTCAATGAGATGAATGCAACACTATCTGGGACTGAAACAGTTCAATGAGATGAACTGAAGAAAGGTGAAGAAGTCACAGAAATTTGTGAATACAGATGTTGGTGTCAACAGTTATTAGACAAAGCAGATGGGGATACACTGTGCACATCATGAAGAGAAATGAACACAGAATCAGCAAACCGACACCTAAATGAGAAACAATTGAACAGAGGAGGCAAGTATGCCTAAAAGAAACCCTAAGACGAACACTGATGAGAGCGACCATAGCTGCTGGACTGGATTCTGTTCATGTTTACAGGACATAAATCAACTTGGTGTAGCAGCTAGGCCCTCTCTTGCGGATCGGAAGGTTATGGGTTGAGGTCCTGACGAAGCTGGATATTCTGAAAAATAACCCTGGCATCCAGGTTGACCTAGCCTTAAATGGGCACCAGGTAAAGTCCTGGGAAGTAAAAGTGGCTGGCATGATGTCCGACAAGTTATAAAATTTAGGTCTAGCCTTTTATGCATAGCAATCCTCCGTAATACCAAGTAAAAGATTTCAAATAATTGGGAGAGACAAAATAAACAATATATCATACCAGTTTTTGCCTCTGATGTACACTGAAGCTGCTTTGTCATAATAGTGTCCTTGTTCGTACAACTGGGCAGCCTCTGTCCATTGCTGGTCAGAATAGACAAGAAGAGCTCATGTTTAGAGACAATCTATAAATATGGTCCTAGTCTAGATCAGGGCTGTTAAACTGGAGGCCCTAGGGGCTGAATTGTGAACTCTGAGGCCTAGCAGGTGGCTTGCGGATCACCGCCAAAAACAGTTATTTTTAAACATTTTTCTATCCTGGGGTTTGGTCCACCGGCCTGAATGGTTTCTACTTTCAACATATTAGCCCTTAGTGAACCTAGTTGAACTGTCTAATCCTAAGTTGTCCTCACCAAAGTAGCAGACAAAAAGGGTAGTGTAACATGGTCAGTGAAGAACCAACCTCCTTCTGATGTTGTGCTGAGTTGTTTTCATGTCTCAGCATCCCTCAAAACACTTAGATCTGTTTAACTTCCGGTTAAAATGGACGCTAGACAGCGGCGCCGTTCGGAACAGAGGCAAATTTTTTGCTTCTGCCGGACGGTGGCCGATGCATTTTTGCTCCATTTGTAGACTAGATATAGTTTCATCGCCCAGCTTCTGAGTTGAATGCATGGCGTGACCCTGTGAGCTGCGGATTGCATTTGGAATGGTTTTTTTTCCGACTGTGACCAACGTGGTGGTGTGAATTGTAGATTCAGAAAATGGCGCGATGCCTGTCGTTCAATGCTTGCGGGACCCGTATTAAAATTGATCACGCGGACAACTGCTGATCTGTTGACAACAAGTTCTGCTATCATCAATGATGAACTGCATTTCTAATGTTTGTGTTAGCACTTCGGATGGCTACCATATGCTTTAATGCGAGTGTATGCTAGATATGCTGAGACAGCAGTCTGTCAATCTTTCCACAAGGGACTGTGATAGACATTCTGAGTGTTTTTCGCTGGCACAGGAGCGGAGCAAAGATGGGGCAACCCGTTTGCTATGAAGCTGAAACTAAGACTACCAGACTACCAGACTTAGATCATTCACTTTAGCTTTTCAAGGAACTCTCAGCATTCTTCTATGGAACCTCATCTCTAAGGTCTCTTATGATATTATGCTTCTATTTTAGCTGTCCATTTTTCAAAGATATGTTAAATCAGATTCTTTGTAGCCGGCAAGAATGATTTTTTTCCAACGTCCAATGACAGGAATTTATTGCAACAGAGGGCTGCATGGTCTCGAGGTATGGTGTCAGCCTCGGGCGCTGGAGGTCCCGGATTCAAGCCCCGGTGAAGGCTGTGATTTTTTTTCACGTGGGCTTATAGTAATTTCCCCTGGTCTCTGGGTAGAAGACCGGATGCCCATGTGTACTGTAGTGCACGTAAAAATTCCCTTGAAAGTTGAAAATAAAAAAAATAGCCTAACAGCGCTGCCCAGGCAAAATTTAGAGTTAAAATGCTACCTAAAATATTTCAGGATCCTCGCCGGTGCAAACAGAATTTGTGCATTGCGCTGAGATTCTTCAGACAGGCTTCAGTCAGAAGAAGAATGGAGCACTTAGTGGTTATACCCTTGTGCCATGATGTTGATCCGTTGAGTAAACATAAACTTACTGCAACAAATGTTATCCATTTTATCAAATGTGCTTCTTGCCTGTCCCATTCTGAATATAATATTTGTGATACAACGCTCATAATTTTCTTCTTTTGCTTCATAGCGTTCATTAGCTGTAAACTCTGGTAGAAAGTTCTGGCTGTTCATCCACTTCTAAACTTTGGTCTTATTCAAGAGCTGGAGTTTTGCATGCACATCTATTTAACAGAGATAGCTTATTTGTGTTTCGGCGTCTGTGGCCTAGGCGCTGCAAAGCGCGGTTCATAATATCAGGTGCCGTGTTCGATCCTACCTGCAGGCAATTTAGCAGCAAACCATCTTACATTAAATCTTGACAGTGGTACTGAGAGTTGACTGTTCAAAAAGCAATGGCAAACTAATAAATGTAAATTTGCCTAAAAAACCGAAACAATAAAAAAAAAATTGCTAAAGTTGGTTCTGCATCGTCCTGTAAAGGATATGAAATGAACTTAAGCTTATTTGTATGCAGACTGCTGGTTTCCCCGCCTCATGCAGATGCACTCCGAACCTGAAGAAAAAACCCTTCATTAGTCACCTTTTGTGACATACTTTTGGCGAAAATAGGGTGGGGGTGGTCTTTTCTGTTTCCTGCCAAAATGGGGCCTTAGGAATCTCCTATCTGATCTTATCTTATGTGTGTCCAGATACTAGGTAAAAAAAAAAGCAATGGCAGGCACAGAAACAAAAATGTGTCAAATCTGAATGTACTGGATCACAGGCTTGAAGAACAATCCAACGCAATTCACTTTACAATGTCAAAAATTCACAACTACTGTGTTCACAGGCAAACATATCAAACAGCTACTCTAACAGAGAACTTGACCCCCTTCCATGTGTTCTTCTCACCTTCATACTCTCCAAGATGGCAGCACACTCCTTCTTCAGAATCTTCCCCGGCATCTTGGATGCCATTGACACACCTCTAAACAAATGTGACACAGATACACTGTTAGCAATCTAATTAACATTTACATTTCATGCATGAGGAAAACCGGCATTTCTGAGAACAGCTTGTTGAGGCTGTCATATGATGGTTAGTGCCCGGGAAGGCTAACGGACAGCTTGTTGAGGCTGTCATATGATGGTTAGTGCCCGGGAAGGCTAACGGACAGCTTGTTGAGGCTGTCATATGATGGTTAGTGCCTGGGAAGGCTAACGGACAGCTTGTTGAGGCTGTCATATGATGGTTAGTGCCTGGGAAGGCTAACCCGGTCAACAAATGCCTGTACAAGTTGAATGTGTTGGCAGAAATACTTAAATATCGCAGCCATGCTGTAAACAGGCACAAAGCAGTTACAACGTCAGAAGTATGCAGAAGACAACGATGATATAGTTAGTGCTGGGTCTCCCTCTCTCTCACCCACACCCCTCTGTCTGTATCTTCTATGGCCCCCAACTCAATTAGTCCTCAAAGAGTTAAGTCAACTAATACTTGATCAGTGTGTAAGTCATTTACCTTCTTCTATTTTGTTACTGGGACCATAGGAACTAGCTGGCCTGTGGATCGGAAGGTCTAAGTTCGGGTCCCGATGGACCATGTTCAGAAATCTTCACTGTCTGCTTTTATTTATTCTTCTCATAACATGTTGTCTCTGTGTAAGTTCTGGGGCCCTATTATAGGGAAAACAAGAATAGACCCACTGCCTTCCCAAAAGCATGTCATAAAAGTCGACTGATTGGGAGCTTCCTGCAAAATCAGAGTGCATCTGCCTGAGAGGCAAGGAACCAGCAGTCTGCATACAAATAAGTCAGATCTGTCACGGATGCACACGCAACACTCAGGTTCTGGAACAGGACTGCAGTCCAGAAGTGGACGAACAACTAGAACTTTCAACCGGAGTTAACAGCCGGTGAAGGGAAAAAAGAAGAAGAAAACATGTTCAGAAATCTTCACTGCCTACTTTTATACACATTTTCTGAAACTGACCGCTAGAACATCATATATATGCATAAATACAACAATTATACCTATATAGACATAATTTTTCTGTTTTATGTAGTTTTTATAACCCATTTCAATCAAAATAGTGTTGACAAATATAGAATCCACTAACAACAAGTTCAACTTAAAACATGTTAGCCAGAACGGGACATGGTCATAAGTTGAAAAGACCTTGTGTATAATAATTTAGCTTTTTGAATGAATGCTTGTACAAATATGATGAATCAGGATGGAGTAGGAATACAAACAAAACCTGCATACCTCCTGATATCTCCGACTCTGATGGACATCCGAGCTATCCCAGCAGCACACACCTCGTTATGCTCTCGCTCAGCCTCGACCTGGGTGATTCCCTTCTCAAAATGTGTCAGAGCATTGAGGTAGTCTCCGGTGAACTCCAGCTGTTGGGCGTACTCCCGGGATATGTAAGGGATCTGTTCGGGTGCTAGGGCTTTGGCCAGTTGTAAGGGCGCTGTCCCAGTGTAGCAGGTCTCGTCTCATCTTAAAGATATATTAGGGCACTCATCAGACAAATATCATATAACAAATGTATATACTTTATTTAAAAAAAAATTAATAACTAAATAAATAAAAAATAAAACAAAACAAGCGATGGAGGCATACCAGACATACAAGAAGTCTTGTTAACCAGCATGGGACAGGCACTATTAACCGTGTAATGCTAATGAATATGTTGAACAGGGGAATCTGAGCACCTACAGATGTGTCTGGAGTGTTGTGAAGACAATTCAGCTCTCACGATTCAAAGGGCAGAAGAAGAAAATCCTACTCTTAAAAAAAAACAAAGACCCAAAAAATCACAAGCATCAGACAATCGACCCTCCCACCTCCCCCTTTCCTCCCACCTCCCCCTTTCCTCCCACCTCCCCCTTTCCTCCCACCTCCCCCTTTTCTCCCACCTCCCCCTTTCCTCCCATCATTACCAGAAAACAATAAGGGACCCAGAAAGCCAGACTTATCAGATCCTAACAAGCATGTCATAAAAGGCATCTAATTGCTCATTTCAAAGTGAGATCACCTCTGCATAAGATGCAAGGAACTAACAGCCAGCATACAAATAAGCCAAAACAGACGGGCATGCATAACTTGAGTCCTGCAACAAGATCAAAGTCTAGGAGTGGGCAATCAACCAGATCCTTTTGCTTGAGTTTACAGCTGGTGGATGCTAAAAAGAAAGCAGACAGAATGAATAGAGGACTCAAAATTTCATTTAACAGAGAAACAAAATCAATGTACCCAAAAAACTCATTAAAAAAAAAAATATGGGTTTAAAAATCATACTGATTAAAAGCTTATTCACTTGTAAAATATTGACACCCCATCATGAGAACAAACAACCACATACAGTAGAACCTCGCTTAACGAGCACCACTCATAACGGGTAATTCGCATAACGAGCAAAACAAATTGTTTAAAAAAAAAATTACTTGCTTAATGAGCGATGTTTCGCATAACGCGTGGCGAGGAAAAGGAAAGTCTGTGTTTAGCACTCGTTCCAATAGCATCGTAGTGTCGCTTGTGATCACACATTTTCTTAAACTTGTGTTATATTGTGATATATGTACATGAATCCTCCAGGCCTACAAGATGACCTCTCTGAAGAATTTAAGTTCATCAAGATCCAGTTTCTGCCTCCCAACACCACTCCGTTACTTCAGCCCATGGACCAGCAAGTTATTTCTAACTTTAAGAAGCTCTACACTAAAGCACTCTTCGAGCATTGTTTTCAGTTGACTGAAGGGACCAACTCACTCTCAAAAGTTTTGGAAAAAAATCACTTCTACATGGTTGCTTGCCTCAAGATGATCGACAAGGCGGGGAAAAGGGTTACCAAGAGAACCTTAACGTTTGCTTGGAAAAAGCTTTGGCCGGAGAGCGTTATCGATTTGTGACTTTAAGGGGTTCGAGACAGTACTTGTGGAACCTGTAGTCAACGAGATAGTGTCTGGCCACCATCATGGGATTGTAGGTGGATAACAGTGATATCAAATAGCTTGTAGAAGAGCAAAGCCAAGAGCAGACCACCCAAGAGCTATGGAGTTGCATTGTGTTTCACAGCAAGAAGTTTTGGAGAAAACATTTGTCAGAGGAGGAGGTAACAAAAAAGCAACAATCTTCTGATGAAATAAGAGAAATGCTGAAAGCATGGCAAACTGTTGCATCTTACATTGAGAAGCATCACCCTAGTAAGGAAGTGGCGCGTTGCAAATTTATTTAATGATAATTCTGTCGCATTTTTCGCCAAATTTTGAAGGGTCAGCAAAAACAAATGTCTCTAGACATCTTTCTAGTAAAAAAAAAAAAAACCTATGTATCATAATTATTTCGAACTTTTTTTTTCTACAAATCAAATTCGCATTTCAGGTGGTTATTCCGTGTTTGAAGAAAAGATGAAGATGATTCACTCTCCTTAATAATGTGTAGATAATTTTCTTTGAATAAACGTTATACAAGCATTTTGTTAGTAGTTTTGTCAACATGGAACGCATTATCGTATTTTACATTAATTTATATGAGAAAATTGTTTTCGCATAACGAGTATTTCGCTTAGCGAGAATTCTGGAACAAATTATGCTCGTTAAGCGAGGTTCCACTGTACTCAAACAACAACAACAACAAACACACTGACCTCTAGAGCTGCCAAAGGGTTCTGGGAGGCTAGAAAGAGATCCTGTGCCAAGTTAAACTCTCCAAGGAACATGGCTATATAGCCACACAAGAGATTCTTGTCTTCTGTTCCCTGTGTGCAGGAACCAAACAAACAGGTGTAGCATGTACCATTTTGTGTGTGATGGAATTATGTTCATTCTCTATGCCAGGGCTATTCAACTGGTGGCCCATGTGCTGAATCAGGCCCACAGAGGCCTAGCAAATGGCCTGCGGTTCACTGCCAATTCTTTTGCTACAATAGTCTTTCTATGCCAGGGTTCAGGTCTCTGACCGTGGCAATTTCCATTTTCAACATTTGGTCCCTGAGTAAAATTAGCTGAACAAACTTGCTTTATGTACACTAGTTTGGCTTGATATGGTTTGAAAGATTACTTTCACTGCACTCAGACACTGCCATAAGTGCTCCAACTTCCTCCAAAAGATCACACAAGAAGAAGCTTAGCACAGTCTGTAAACTACAGAGGCATCACAGGTCAAAATATAATTATATCAGAATCATCATGTGCTGATAAGCTGGATGGTTCATACAATAAACACAGATCAGGTCAGTGTTCTTGTTCCACCAAAGTTATGTGATACTTATCTTTTCCTTTCTCTTGTTCTTTTTCCAAAAGCTTATCTGTTGTCAGCAAGATTCTGAATTTATTATTCTCATAACATGTTCAGAAATCCTCACTGTCTACTTTTAATATCTTTTAAATCAGTTTACTGTCTGACTGTTTTTTATTCCAAAAGCGGTATCTTAGGATTCTTAATTAAATCTTCTGTGATATGACTGACAAGCATTCTAAAGGCTGAACTTACCTATCAGCCCTGATCGCTTAAAAAAATCATTCCTCAAAAAGGATTCAAACATATGACCAAAAGACCGGTAGGCAAGCCTGCTATCACTGTACTATATTCAAGTATTCAACTTTACTCAGAAGATTACTGACTACAAATTCAAAAAAAAAAAAAAAAAACATTCACAACACAGCATATCTCATGAATGCTTTGCCTGTCACAAAAAATGTCTGTAGCCGTAGATGTTGACTTTTTGAGTTGCACACTGTCAGGTGCCAGTTCAGCCTATGGCACGAGAAGATATGGCTGTACACACGTCTTATTTTTTCTTCATCTAATATGTCCTTTCTTGCCAGACAAACCTAGCCCCTATTTGGGACACAAATTTTTCATTATTTCAAAGCCTCAACTCGACTGTAGTCGGGGGCCCTAATATAACGTAATGGTTGAACGCGGTTTCTGGGACTTGTACCTGGGTTATTCTCATCCTACGCAGTTTCTGGGACTTGTCCCTGGGTTATTCTCATCCTACGCAGTTTCTGGGACTTGTCCCTGGGTTATTCTCATCCTACGCAGTTTCTGGGACTTGTCCCTGGGTTATTCTCATCCTATTGGTGACAGTAACACTGTGTGTTTATTGCTCATTGTGCAATCCTGGTGGGGTTAAAAAGCTTACTCCAGCTAGATCCACACTCAGTTCCAAACTGAGTCAACCTTGCACATGTTCTTTTACCTAACATCGTATTTCCCAGAAGAAAAACAAGACAGAAAAAAAAAAACAGAGGATAAGAGCTAGAAACTTCACCTGAACATAAGCTATGACCTGGCATATAAACATCAGGAAGTGTAAACCCTACAAGAGTGTCTACAGTGATTAACACTGTCACTTCAAAAAGCCACAACACTGACACTTCCAGTTGTGAGTCTATTCCCCATAAATGTCACTTTTCTGCCTTGTCTATAGTGATCTGTTTATAAGACAGACATTTAATAATATTGGCTGATTTCAAACCTGCGCAAATTTATGAGGTCAGGATGTGAATATATTCATTAAAACTAGACCTTGGGGGTGGGGGTGACCTAAGACTAAATGAATTTTTTTTTAAAGCCAAGCTGACGTGACATTTTCTCCTAAGCCTCAGTGATTGAGGTTACAGGTTCAATGTTCTGTGTAAAACTGTTTTGGAAGAATTTATTTCAAAAATTTCCATGGGGTCAGGACCCATTCTGTTAGCATAACCGGGGTGAAAGTGTTAACCTTAACTAGTCATTTGTGCATTAACATTAATTTAACACCAGAACAGTAAGTAGGCCAAGTAAAGGATGCTTTTCATGCCTTAGGTGTATGGGGCATGGGTGATGTGGTCAACATCATAGCCACCGCTTTTACTTCCCAGTACAAATATTTGGTATCCATTTTAAGCTGAGTCACCCTGGGGCAGAAGTCAATTTAACAACAACAACAACAACAACAACAAAAATCCACCTCAATATGAATTTGAACCCTAGACCATCAGGGTTGGCAAGCTTCTAGGACAAAGCAGTAGCTATGGAAACAACAGACAATGTTAAAAAACAATTTCCAACACATAAAACAGCTGACCTTGATTTGTTTCAGTGAAGACACCATCCCGACATCACCAATCTCTCTATACACTCTAATGGCTGAAAGATAAAGTTAAGAAACTCCATCAGGAATGATCTTTCTCAAGGATTCAGATTTTACAGTCTACACATAAATAAGCCGGATCAGTAAAATGGACATTCAACCAAAACTAAAGTTCTTGTATGAGACTAAAGTCCAGAAGTGGATGAACAGTCAAAATTTTCCGCTGGAGTTTACAGCTGAGAACACTAAGAAGAAGAAGACTGCCTTCCTCTCTACTTTGCATCGGGTCATTTACCGAGGGGGGGTCCCGTGGAGCATGAACCTATTAGCTCTAGCGATCATCCTCTGGTATGTGAAAAATGCTGGTGAAAAACAATCGTGAACTGGCTGAGACAATCACAAAACAAACCCACAACTTTCAGAGTGTGAGGCAAACCGATTAACTACTGTGCCATGAAGACCTCTAGCATCAGAAACCCCTGCTAGCCGCACCAGTGTAGCTTGCTACAGAATATATTTTTGGGGGACCAGCTCTTTTTGCATGGAGGCAACATGATTGGTCCACCTAATGGTCAGCACCTGACAGGACCATCTCTGGACATATAATGACCAACAATTCTGCTTCTTCTTCACCTGCCCTTAACTCTTTTTGTACTATATCTTTTTTTTTTTTTAAATGAAATGAATATTCTTTCTACCTGCTATGTTGTATAAATAAAAAATAAATGAAAAATACCTCTGTGGTTACCAGGTTTATTTAGTACACACTAACCAAAACTTGAATATAAAAAAATACTTGATGTGATATTTGAGACATGTGGGGAATAGTCACTAACACATCATGCATTGTTAGGAACCGAAGAGTTACAAGGGTGGTTGGCACACTGTGTTTTGGTTTACAGCTAATTTGCGATATCTGTGCCTTTCGGCCTAATACGTGCAATTTTAGCAAACCCTTTTATCACCTTTTATGACAAGCCTGTTTGGGGAGCAGTGATTCTGTATGTATTCTTCTTATTCTTTTATCCTCCTGCTGACACTGTCAAGTGTTGCAGAGAAGAGTTAGATGTAGTCTCCTGTCTTTTCCTAGTTGTGCAGCTTGTGGGCATATTGTGTTTTTGAAGGGTCTCTTTCACTCTCTCCACCCATCTCTTTCTTGGTCTGCCTTTTGCCTTGTAGTCTGATGTTCTCATGTAGGACGCTCTAGCTTCTGGCTGATTTTGTTATTCTTAGTACTTTGTTGGTGACTCGTGTCTCTTCTTGTTTCCCCTGCCACATTTCTTATACAACTCATCTCATATATTGTAATTTTGCATTTATGTTCTATGCCCACCCCCCTCCCCCCCACCCCCAAGAACCCACAAGAGTTGGACCAACAATGATAATGTGGCTATCTCCGGCCCATGAACTCACCAAAGTCCAGCTGCATATTTTCCAGGGCTGCTCTCCCAACTTCCCTCCACATGGCCTCACTCTTGAGAACAGAGCAATACACCCAGGCATCCTTGAACCTAAGAATTATTATTTCAGTAATAACAAATTCAATCAATACCAAGCACATAAATAGTTGGCTATCACAGTTGAAGACTGTTTGATCCTTGCCTCTCAGGCAGATGCACTCTGCCTTTTAGGACATGCTTGTTAAGGAGGCAGTTGGTCTATTCTTATTTTTTTCCAAAATGGGATCCCGGAACCCAAATGGGGCAAGGTCATGGGTTCATTTCATGGATGTGTTGTTAAGTTCACTAGTGCAATTTTTACTGAGATCCGGGGTGACTGTTGCTGCAGCTAAGAAATTTTGCGTGAGGCTTTTTGCAGGCTTTTGCAGGTTAGCCAATCTGCTGAGAGAGACTAAGCCACATGAGATAATCCAGGGCAATATTCTTTTCTTCTTCTTAGCGTTTACAGGCAGAAAGTAATGTGTGTTCATCCATTTCTGGACTTTGGTCTGTTTCAGAACCAGAGTTTTGCATGCGCATTCGTTTTACAGATCTGATTTATTTGTATGCAGACTGTTGGTTCCTCACCTCTCAGACAGATGCACTCTGACTCTGAAGGAAACATCCTATATTAGTCCCCTTGTACGGCGAGCTTGTTAGGGAGGCACTGGGTCTGTTCATTCCCCCCCCCCCCCCTCCATGGGGTCCCGGAACCATATGGGAAGAACTCAGGGCAATGAAAATGACCCTCTCAACTTTTAACTTTTTTCTCAAGAAACATTAATATGACGGAGAATAACAGTAATATATCAATAAATCGAGAATAACAGCAAATTTAAATAATGCAGACAAAACAATACGCTGCATCTCGTCAGGTGCACTACTACAGAGTTAAATCAACATATAATGAAGCACAAAAAATGAATCTTTTTTGTTGAAATGCATAAACCACATTGTCAAGTTACTGTACATCTCTCCACCAGAAATACATGATTACCCTGGTAACATTAAATTTATCACATGATCTTTTTGCTTACATATAATAGGAGAGTTCAGTTTTATTAATATGGCTTTGGCGACCTTTAGCAAATGCCTCTTCAATGTATGATAAACAATCCTGAGAGTAAAATGCTTATAAACTACATGTTCAGAGGAAAGTCCCCAAGAGATTATCAATGATTCTACAAAATAAAGCCTATTTCAAACAAACTTACTCACCTTCTTAATTTCATGCACTGAGTGACTGCAGTCTTCAGCTGTGTGAGCGCACAAAATTAGTGACAATCATAAAGGCATAACACATTCATAATCGATTACAAAATTATATACAAGTAAATACACTCATAAATTAATTATAATTTAGTAAAAGAATCAATCACAAAACATTAAATCAGTTACAAAGCTTCAAATCACATCAATAATTGTTATTGTGATTTGAAGCTTTGTCAATTATAATTTAAACATTATTAATGTCTTCTCTTAAATGTATCTTATTCTTGTCTGTTAAGTCTGTGGCTTAGGCGTTGCGAACGAGCTTCGTAATGTTGGGGTGACGGGTTCGATCCCAGCTGGGGGCCTTGCGCTGGTTTTGACAGTGGTATTGAGAAGCTGGCCGTCTAGAAAGCAATGGCAAACTACTGCATGTAAATTTACCTAGAAAAACCACAACAGCCAAAAAATGCTGGGGTTGGTTCTACAATGTCCTGTAAAGAATACGCAACTAACTTTAAACTTAACTTCAAGTTGGTGCCTGTCAATTAAGCATTATGAATGCAATATGGTAGCAGATGTTTTGACAATGTTATGGACAACTGGCTGTTTACAAGCAATGTCAAACTACTGAATGTGGAACTGCCCAATAAAACCATTCAACAGCCCAAAAATACTGGGGTTGGTTTGCAACATCCTGTAAAGGATACACAACTCATTTTAAGTTTTAAAAAAAGACCTATCGTCATATGAGGTAATGGTAAAAAATGTTTTATCAGAAACCATTTTTTCACTGCATCAGATGCTTTTACAACTTGTCTTACCCCCCATACCTCACTTTCTACATGCATACATCAGTCCTTCAACACTGTTTCTCTCACTGCAGTTGACATCTTTTTTAATTGGTGAATTAACGAATAGCTAAACACTTACTAAACCTGCTGCTCTGATGGCTTCAGTGAGTTTCCCAAATAAAATTTACAAATAATATTAAAAGGTCCCTTTTCCATGCCTTTAGGGTCTATTCAGCGTATGGTGCAACATCCATATCTTATAGACCATTAGGCCCTCAATAGGTGATGTGGTCAACACTGCACTGGACGCCTTTACTTCCCAGGACTTTACTTGGTACCCATTTAAAGCTGGGTGGACCTCAGAGCTAAGTATATTTAAAAAAAATTCCGGCTCCGTTTGGATTTGAACCAAAAAGTTTCTGATCCTGCAGGCAAGTGTCTAGCGGCTACACCACGGTGGCTCCCTACACATGATATTAGCAGGTGGAATTACCTCACTGGGTGACATGCTGGCTGGGTTGTCACTAAAAACATGAGAATGCGTAGCCAGAAGCAGGGTAGCCATCTTGCCACTGGGTGTCTGCAGAGTGACTTCCCCATTATAAAGCAGAACTGGGACTTGCCCGTATGGAAGTCGTGAGGCTCCTGCAAATATGACCTGGCTGCCTGTTAGGATTGACATTTTATAAAACTATGAAAACAAACTGGCAACGGAGAAAAAAAAACTGATGCAGCCAGAAACAGAATATAACTGCATAAAGAAGGCTCAAAAACTAACATTACAGTAAAGTCCACTACAAAAACAACTATTATTATACAGTTCACTCAGAAAACAGTTATCACAGTTGTTTACTCAAAAACAACTAACATCTCAGTACTCTCCACTTTAAAACAAAAGTAATATCACAGTAATGTCCACTCAAAGACAGCTAATATCACAGTACTGTCCACTCAACAAAACAAAAATTAAATGGGTAATATAACAGTACTGTCCACTCAAAGACAATAAATCTAACAGCAGTACCCCCCCCCCCCCCCCCCCCCCCCCACACAAAAAAAAAAAACAACCAATATGACATTATTTTCCACTGAAAAACAATAAATCTAATAGAACTATGCCAACAAAAATAACCAGTATCACAGTACTGTCCACTCAAAAACAACTAAATCCATAGATAACATCAGAAACAAACATTATAAAAAACACATTTTTGTTTCGTCACAAAGTAAACATTACCACTTATCATCATCATCCTCGTCATCATACGCAATGCTAGCCAGCACAGGCAGTATGTTAGTCTACAGACCAAACAAACTGCACACTGAACTGTAATTGCTTGGATCCCCTTCTCAGTAAATCATACAGTGTGCGGTGACTGACGACACCAGTTATGTGTTGGTTTATTATTCTTCTTTGGCTTCCTGTACAGTGCCTATTTGGGGACACCCCATTTGATTTGACTTGCTATTCTTGAGGTCTGACCATGGCTGCAGATTCAGTCCTGCCCTCATCCTTGCAAACTTACTTCTCACAGAGTATTCAGTATCTGAGCCTGGTCCATGCCGGTCCACCCTCTACACCAGTCTTACCTGCAAGTCTGTTACCTTACCCATTACCTTGTACACTCCCATGCCCTGGCACAAAAATTAAACTGATCTTCATCAGCCACAATCACCCAGACCAGTGGCTCCTAACCTTCCTAATGCGGTGAACCCTTTAATCTTTAATGCGGCTCCTCATGCTGTGGCAACCCTCAAACATACAATTATTTTTGTTACTACTTTATAACTTCAATGAATATGTGTTTCCCGATGGTCTTAGGCAACCCCTGTAAAAGAGTTGGTCGACCCCCCCCCCCCCCCCCCCTTCCCCCCCCCCCAAGGGTTGAGACCCAAAGGTTGAGAACCCCCTAGCCTTGACAGTGTAACAGCACGTCACAGAAGGTGGACTGTGGTGAAACACAAGAAACAGGGGACGTACATTTTTGTGTGATGTCAACAAGTAGTCACATCACCTGATCCCTTAGAGAGAGCAATTAGAATTATTGAGGAAAATCTTAAATCTGCATTCTAGGTCCTTACCTTTCACAGAATCCTGGCAGTAAACAAATGTGTACATTTTCTCTGTGTCATAAGCCAGGAAAACAGTCTGCAGATATGTCAAAAAATGTTTTCTTTATGTCCTGACTCAGTATGGGGTCTACAACTTCACCCCAATATGTTATTTCAAAGCCCTGTCCCAGCTGCTATCATCATCATCATCCTTGGTTTGCCGTTAGACGCCACACAGGACTCACATTTGATTCCTCCCCTCGGCCCCATTGCCTGCAACTTTCTCGATTTCTGACATGGAGTTCAGCCCAGCATTTTTTGCCTCTTGTAATAGTCTTGCTTTTAAATGTTTCTCTTGGATGTCCTCTTTTTTTCTCAAACCGTCTGTTTCCCATTTCAGTGCCTGCTTTGTAATTCTTTGCTCACTCTCAGAGTGTGTCCAATATATCTCCACCTTCTTTGTCTTTTTGCAGTCGATACAGGTATTTGTCCAGACATTTCTCTGATCTCATCACTTTTTGAATTCATCCCATTTTATATTCATGCTTTTTCTCAGACTTTTATTATCAAATGCATTTAACCTTAATTCCATATTTTTAGTTTTTCTCCAACTTTCGCTGGCGAATGTTGGAGATAAAATAAAATTAAAATTTATTTTGGTCTTAAAGCTGTATAACTTGGAGCTCAATATTTTGTAAAGGCTTGTAAAATTTGTTGTTTGGGCCCCTAATATTGTTGTTGGGGCCCCTAATATAACGAAACAGTTAAACAGGATTTCTAGGATTTGCACCTCGGTGATTTTCAACCAAATGATGACATTATGTGTCACCTGGTGTTTGTTGCATGTTGTGAGGCCCTGGTGAGGTTGAACGTCACTTACTGTTATGGGGTCTGTGGCAAACACTATTGAAAATAAAACAGGTTTGCAGGCCTTTTCTAAATAGGAGCCTCTGGCCTAATTATGATGATGATGATGACTGAGGTTATAAAAAACAGGATTACACAACAATAAAACAATGTTATTTTCACCTTATCTGGCAACCAGTTTTCCCACAGAACACCCTGCGTTGTTGCAGAAAAGTCACCAATACTTATCACAGTGTCATCTGCCTACAGAAATAAAAAAAAAAATTATACCATAAATTGTATCTGCAATTTAAACAAGGAATATGAAGCCACTGAGATGTGGATACCATCCATGCCAGTCGGCAAGGTACTTGATGATGATGAAATAACAGATGTTAATCAAATTTCTACAGTAAAAAAACATTCATCAGGTAATCGCAGTTCCAATTTCACAGCAAACAGGTCATCCCATAGTTTCTCTGTTCCTGTACCAATGAAAACCACATAAAATGTTCATCACTGTCCCTTGTTATTTTAAAAAAAAACATTGACATAAGAGTGTAGTCCGAGCAATGCCAGTAACATACACATGCATTAAATGCATAAGGTAGTTGTCAGAGGTAGTTGCACAGACACAAGGCACCAAAAACTCTGGCAATAGGCCATCAGGCCGACATCATTAAATAGAAGACTTTTGAATTCTTTCTGTCTGAAGCATGATCAAATATGGTCCATGTCTATAAAGCAACCAGCTGTGTGTTACTATAATTCTTATGTTTGGTCTGAGCATATTAACAGAACCTGGCTACAAATTTTCAAATGAAGTACAGCAAAAATTTCCTTATTAAAAGTAATACATTCATGCTGTTTTTAATGTTATTACTGTCATCCTTGAGCAGCTTATTTCAATGCTTCTCAGTTCGAATTTCATTCTCTTTATTTTTTCTTATTCTTCTTTTCCTTCAGTAACCCCATCAAGGTGGGTGGGGTGGGGTGTGGGGGGTGGGGGTGTTGTGTGTGTGCGTGCCTGAATGCATGTCGGTGGGGGCAGGGGTGGGGGGGATGTAAAGATCTTGTGTGTGCTCTTTCTAATGTATTGCATAAGTCGATCTTTATTTCTTTAAGGTTGTTCTTGATGCTGTCATTCCATGCTAAGTAAGGTCTTCCTCTCACTCTGTATTCATTGTATTTTTTCAGCACAGCAACTGGTACCAGCACTCTCCTCAGATGGCCAATCTCCACTATTGGTGACAACAGGACATGGCATGTCATACTTACGGAATTGTAAATGTATCCCTCACTCTCCTCAGATGGCCAATCTTCACTGATGGTGACAACAGGACATGGCATGTCATACTTACGGAATTGTAAATGTATCCCTCACTCTGCTCATCTATAAACACTACATGTGCTCCTGTGGTGTCTGGGAAGAGTTTACGGATGCCGACACTGTGACGATGGTCAACCACAAAGTTCCAATCCTCAATGAAGAAATAGTGGATTCCTCCAAGCTAGCAAATGTTTAAAAAAAAATAATAAAATGAATGGGGAAAAACCAGATTAAAATGAATGCGAAAGAAAAAAGGTAAGATGAATAGGTTGACCAAGAAAAAAAAGGGGTCAAATATAACCCCCCCCCCCCCCCCCCCCCCCCCCCCCCCCCCCCCCCGTAAAATAAATGGGTACACAAAAATAAAATGTAAAATGAACTGGATAACAACCCCCCCCCCCCCCACACACACACACAACAAAATTAAAATTGGGCGATATGAATTTTAAAAAAAATTTCATATCATACTGACGTTTCTCCAAACAAATATAAATATACAGTTTAGAAATTAAATGTTACTATGACCAAGACAAACTCAGTACCCACGAAGCAAAGCTAGTCACCCAAAAAGGCACCATTTATCTATGATTTTCTTGCCAATTTTCAGCACGTAGCAACCCACTTTTTTTTTTTTAGCTAGCAAATGTTGCGGGTACATCTGTTTTACAGAAGATCTGGCTTATATTATGCTGACTCTTGGTTCCCCACCTCTCAGAAAGATGCTCTCTGCTGACTTCAAAGGAAACACCCGTAATTAATGACCTTTTACAACAGGCTGTTTGTTAGAGGGTGGTAGGTCTATTGTGTCATCCCCCTGCCCCCCCCCCCCCCCCCCCAGATTTTTTGTGGGGTCCCAGAACCCACAAAAGAAACTATAAATAGTGTTTAGGAAGGGTTTCTCTTGTGCCGGTGTTTATGGCTTAGACGTTGACAACGCCCTTCGTAATGCTGGGTGCCAGGTTTGATTCCAGCTGCAGACGATTTGTCTTGCATTGGTTCTGACAATGGTACCGAGAGCTGACCGTTCAGAAAGCAATGACAAACTACTGAACGTAACGTCTGCTTGGGTTTGGTTCTGCAACGTCCTGTAAAGGATACAAAAAAAATTTTTTTTTCTCTTGTGGGGAAAAACAAATGGCTCATGTAGTCAGTTTGACATCCTAATTTTGTCGTTGCCTGAATGTTAGATGACTGATGAGGGTTAGGGAGTCATGGTTTGAGTCATCCGATACATTATTGTTTACGTTATATTATTTACCCACTCTAAAACACCTATCTAGTTGTTAAAGTACATGAAAGACACACCTACATTAGAATACTCACTCCCCGTTTGGGTTCCGGGGCCCCATTGGGGAAAACAAGAACAGACTCACCGCCTCTCCAAAAAAGAATGCCGTAGGAGTCGACTAGCCGGGGACTTCCTTCGAAGTCGGAGTGCACCTGCCTAAGTGGCAAGGAACAACCAGCTGCACACAAATAAGACAGTAAAACGGATGTACACGAAAAACTCAGGCCCTAGCACAATGTCAAAGTCCAAATAGACGAACAAAAAGGACCTTCCACCAGAACTTACGGTCGATGAACAATGAAGAAGAAGAAGAAGAAAAAGAAGAAGAAGAATACTTACACAGCTGTTATAGCATATGAAAAATTACCTAGGCCAGAACACTCAACAATCATTTAAAAAAGAAAATAAAAGATACTTCTATATTTACATAGCTAATTTAGTTGCATTTCCTTTACTAGACTTTATAAACCAAACCCCCATATCTGATGGCTGTTTTTAGTTTTTTTAGGCAATTTTACATTTAGTAGTTTGCCACTGCTCTGAACAGCAGATGCTTTATACCACCATCAGACTAATCACAAGAGGTCTGAATTTTATATACAGGTGACTAAACGGAATACTTAAATGAACTCACTGACGGATAAATTCATAGGCTCATGACTTACAGAAGTGCCATAGATCAGAAAGTCTGCTGTCATGGCATGACAAGTGATCTTGCAGTTTTTCTGATCTGAGTCAGGAAACAGCCTGGATTCTCTCTCATCGCTGGTCTCCATCTTATCAGCCTCAATCTATTAAAAATCAAGAAATAGATAACATATTTTATCTTGGATTGATAATCTATATATATAAAAATCAATGTTTGTGTGTTTGTTTGCTCCCTATAGACTCGGAAACTACTGAACCGATTTAGCTGAAATTTTCAGGATATGTTTGTTTTGATACCGGATTTTGAACCATCGTGGTTTGAAATTCAACCTGTCACTGTTAGAGATAGGTGACCACATATTAAGCCATAATATTCTAAACTAATATTTATAACTTTAGTGATTTCTAATTATAGCCACGTTAGTAATTGCGCATGCGCCGCAGTAGTCAGAACGCAAGGCTTCCGCCATTTGCCGGCGAGTTACGTGCAGCCAACGCCTTCTCTAATACATAGAGTAGGACGTGGTACATTAAACAAGACTACCTCTATATTTGCCACAATAACCATATTAAACACGATTTCTATTTTCTGCTTTTTTTTCAAACAACCTTCGATGGGGGGTGGGGGGGCAATCAAGGACTATCTCGACGTCGGCGCAGACATTGACTGCGACATTAACTTCATTAACCGTGTTAGACACGTGCGATTTCTATTGTTGTGCCGTTTCATTAATATGTCTGGAGTATCTGTCTACGAGAAAACATTTGCCTGCGGTTTTGAATTGTGTTTTAATCAGGACTCAGTAGCAGGGACACATATCTTAAATAGCTGAGTTCTCTTTTCGTTTATCCGATTAATTGGCTGCTTGGTCGAATAGTTAGAACACTGGGTTCCTGTTCGGGAGACCTGGGTTCGAATCCGCAGTGGTTAATATTTTTTTTTTACCCCGGACTAAAATAATATACTCATCTGCTCTGTCGTGGTGACAGCACTAGCCATTTTGCCTTAATATATATATAAAAAAAAAAAAAAAGACAAGTAAATGGGTAAATCATTTGATAATAAAATTTGACCATTTCGCATACTTATGATTGCATTTTAAAACTTTCCGATTGCATGGTTACGCTGAAATTTTATAGATTTTCATTTATTTTCATTTAGATTTAGTTATTTCATCTGCGTTGGAATTTTAAGCTGTGCTGTTTACCATGGCGTTCATTTCCTAATTATGGTGTTTTTTTCCTGTGTTCATTTGCTTTTCAAGTGTTTTTTTTCCCTCCCAACTACTTCAATGAGAGAAAGAGTTGTCGGTGAATTTGGGGGGGGGGGGGGGGGCAAACTATTTACTGAGAGAGCTTTAAGTCACAGTAACTGCTTTACCCACTTAAAGTAGCAGCAGCAGTAATAGTTGTTACACCAGGGCTGTTACACCATAGTGCTCTCATGTGAATACCGCCGGTAAGGTTATGGCGTTCTTCTGTCGGCAAGTGAAATTATACATCCTAACCTGACCAGTCTGTGGCGACAGCACTAGCCATGCGAAACCAAATCTTCAGGCTCACGACTCTCTGTCTACTCCGATGGTAACACAGATAGCAGTGACATTATTTTAGTAGTTGTACTGGTACTTGAAGGATGATGTGGTAAATATTACACTAGCCCCATTCACTACCTATTACAATTCCTGCTCCCCATTTTAGTCCAGATGGACAGGGATGTCAATGTCAGTTACAGCAACAATAAAATATCGCCAGGTAATGATTTTCAAATATTTCGAAGAGGGAGAGAGCAGTAGTCGGTGGAAGAGGGGAGGGGAGGGGGGTAATGACTTAAATTTAAGAGAACTTAAAGAGCTTTACATGTGATTTTCAAGTTCTCATTACCTAATTTGTTTATATTTTACTAACGCTACCTCCGCTTTTCTATTTTTTACGACTTACTTTGTTATTTAAAAGTACAGTTGTAGCTTTACTTCCGTCTCCTATAAAAATACAAACAGCTTTAGCATGAGATAACCAAATAACCACTTTTGTTAACGTGCTAATAGCACCATTTAGGCGACCACTAATATAAAGACACAATTATATGGTGCGTGTTCTAAAGTTGGAAAACCAGACTATCTCTATATAAATGTGCAGAGAATGATTGCGACATTAACTGTATTAGACAGGTGCGATTTCCATTGTCTTTCTTTTCCAAAAACCTTTGATGAGGGAGAGGGTAGTAGGTGGATTTAGTTGTGGGGTGGGGGGTGGGGTGGAGATCAAAGACTATTTCTTATCTGAGCAGACAATGATTGTATTAGACACGTGCGATTTCTATTTTCTTTCATTTCCATTTAGCCAAACTATGCCACAGCAACGCGTGGCCGGGTACAGCTAGTGTAAAATAAATATCATCATCATCATGTGCTTTGCCGATTAACGTAGGCAATCGTGCTTCTTTACAATTTGTGATCTTCAACAGAATGTATCAGTTTATGTGCGGACACCCCTCCATGCAATGACAAAAGGTTGTTAAGAATCTTCTCACACTGTCTTCCTGTTTCTTTTTTTTTACACAGATCTTTCCAGTGGTCACAACAGGTTCTAGTTTCCTTCTTCTCATAACATGACCAAAAATTGATAACTGACTCTTTCTGATGTTTGTATTGTCTTTGAGCCCTCACCTCTTTCAAAACATATGTGTTGCTCTTTGTGACCATCCCTGGAATTCTAAGGATTCTTCTGTAAAACCCCATGCCTGATTCCTCAAGAAATTGTTTGGCATGTTTATGAATTGTCCAAAATTCACAGCCATATGTTAAAATTAGCTCTATATAGCGTACAAGAATTCTTTTTCTACCCTCCAGTGATATGGATTTACTAATTTACTAGGGACAATACAGCAGTGGTTAAAAAATATACTTAAGTTTTAAAAGAGGGAACCTTCAGCGCACATGGATGGCTCTATAAGAACATGAGTAGCACCTTTCCATCTTTCCAGACGAGAGTGTTATACTGCGCTATGAGGAGGCATGAGACTCACAGCCCATGGCGATGACGAGTGTGACTAGCAAGACCCGCCCGTGTCATCAAAAGTCTTCCACAATGATAGCATGGGATTTCAGGACCATTGCCGTCAACATTTGAGTTTAATCCCTTTCTTCTCAGACATTTAGCTCTCATCCTTTATACATTCATTTCCTCCTTCACTCTTATTCCCTTCCTGATATGCCCTCTCCACACAACACGGTCCATGGCCTTTTGTTCCCATGAGTTCACCTCAAAACCTGTATCACTCATGTCCCGCTTGCACACATCTTTATAACGTAGTAGAGGTTGTCCTTGACATCTTCTACCCGTCTTTAATTCAAAATAAAGGATGTCCTTAGGAACTCTGCCATCTTCCATTCTCCAGGTGTGACCCAGCCACCTGAGCCTTTGTAGACTGAGCATGGAGAAGACTGTTGTAGTACCTGCTCTTTCCAGTACCTCAGTGTTTGTGATTTGGTCCTGCCACTTGATGCAAAATATTCTTCTTAGGCATCGCATGTGAAAGCTACTGAGCCGTCTCTCCTGGTACAAATAGTTTGATCAAGTTTCACTGCCATAAAGCAGAGTGCTGAGAACACAAACCTGATAGACAATGGTTTTTGTTTTAAAAGAACACAGTCAACTCCTAAATATATGAATAGGTATCATATCATCATCTATCAGCAGGTGTCTTACAGAATCACGTTCATCACGGAATGTTTACAAGTCTCTCTTCCTCTAGCCAAGTCTCTGGCCCCATGTACTTTTATAGCCGATGTATCTTCAGTGTCCTGTATCCACAATTGCCGAGGTCCGCCTCATCTTCTGGAAACTGTACCCTCCATCATCGTTCTATCCAGACAACCATGAAGTTTAACATGGCCACAATGCTTCAGCTTTTGTGACGGGATGCTGTTTATGAGCCAATTCTCCTTCGTGCTCAGATCATGTAGGACAGTGGCTCTCAACCTTACTGACGCTGTGACCCTTAAATATAGTTTCCTCATCTTGCAGCGACCCCCAAACAATTATTTTCCTTCATAACTTTCATGAATATGTGTTTTCCTATGGTCTTAGGCGACCCTGTGAAAGGGTCATTCGACCCCAACACATTTCACGACCGGCAAGTTGAGAACCACTGATGTAGGATGTCAGCATTTTTCTTGTTCTTGTTCCATGGTATTCTCAGATTTTTTCCTGTAGCATTTCAGTTCAAAAGCTTTCAACTGTTCTCTAATGACCGTGTAAGAGCCCATGACTCACATCCATAAGCTGCCACCATAAAGAATGAAGATGATTAAGTGCCTTGCCACCTGCAGTGGATGACCTTAGTTGTCCAAATCTTGCGATCAATCTCTAATAGCATGTAACAAGTAATAGGCTGTCATCTCTCCATGCAACAGATCATCAAGAATCTTTTCTCAGTGTCTTCATAAATGTTACCTATTGTCCCAATTATGTTGTGGATAGGTTTTCTCTTTCCACATTTATGAAGTACTCTATTCAATTTCCAACTAGTAAAAATATTTAATATAAAAAAGGGACCTATGATATTTTGCCATTATATGAGGAAGCTAGGCACCTGATCCACTACCATAGGATCAAGGAGGAGTATAAGATACTCAAGTTCCACAAACACAGACAAAAGAAAACAAGTTACTAAACAGAAAGCAACAACAGCAGGGAGGTTTGAACCTTGTCTATAATTACCATGTGTAACTGAATTTTTCCTTCAAAGTAGACCGCAGCATAGTCTGCATTCAGGCACAATGACTGGACAGTGCCAAGGTACTCTCTGCTGTCTTTCATCAGTTCAGGGCCTGTATAAATAATCCAGTGGCTGAATTCTCAATGATTACATTAACATACATTCCTCCATTCATGCAGTTACAAACACGTAGACTCCATTCATTACTTCTTAAAAACTGGAGGTCATAATCTGGGGAGGAAGTGAGAAGGGGTCAATATCTTTGTAATCTCAAAAAGGGGTCAATATCTTTGTAATGTCTAAGACTGTAGTCTAATATTTATCGCTGGTTACCTTCAGCATCTGCTTCTTTAGGTCAACACCTTTAACTAAATTGTTTCTTTTGTTATGCCCTGTTGTACTTTTTAAATAAAGCTCTTTTCAATATACATCAAAGGGATTTTTTTACATGTACATGGTGCACATGTGACTTCCACGACAGTCATCATTGCTTAAAATACATGACGTCTGACACACAACACCAGTTTCACTGACAGAATAGCATATGTTTTTTTTTTCTTTATGCAAAACTCCACACACCATGAGTTGTCAAACCAGGTCTCTATAAACTAAAGAGATACTGTAAGATTTAAGTTACTGTGCCTCTCCCACAACGCTCATTCCCTGTCCTCACTGTCCAAGAACTTTTCGGGCCCGCATCGGCCTCATCAGTCATCTTCGTACTCATACTTGATGAAAAAGAGTGGTCATCATCATCTTGATGGACAACACACACACACACAAACACACACACACTGTACCACTCAGTTAACTCTCTCAGGTACGAGCAACGCTGTCTGTGTTGATTGAAAAGTTCCTTTTGACCAAACCACACAATCTGCATTAACTGTGTGTCCCGTACATACTGATCGCATTCTGGTCCGTATTAGCTTTTAATGTTCGCAACTATCATTAAAATATTTAGGGGAGGTTACTCTAACATTTTGACTTTGCTTACAAGTCTCTGTACATTTAGGTGCAAATTTAAACAATTCATTGCTAGTATCACTTTCTCACTTTCCGAGAGTGAACTTTCTGATTTCATTTTTAACTGGCTGTGGATACCAATGTTATAAACACAAGTATAGGCTGCAAAATGGGCCTTTCTACGGCTAAAACTTTGAAACTATTGAAATCAGATGTTTTAATTTTGATAATGATAATAAAAACTTAAATATTTAAAGTGTTATTCTCATATTCAGATATTATTCACTGTTCTTCTGGCTGCAAAAGCATGATAAGTGAAGAATATTTTTGTAAAATGTTGTCCTCGTAAAAACGAACACCAGTTAATTATTCACCAACTGAATTTTTTTATTTTTTTCTTAACTAACTAAAACAGCCTTAGCACAGTCGATGAGAGGCTCGCTTTCAAATCCAGCTGCGACTCGCTGCAGCCTACGGTCGGTGTTCGAAACCGGGCGGTTCCCAGGGTTCACCCGGCCTCTAGGAAATGGGTAGCAGAGTTGACACTCTGGGGTAAATGGAGGAATGTCGCTGTAGGTACAGAGTTACGTGCGAACGGCGACACAAGTGGACAATTCTTATCAGCTGTCCGTACTGGTGGCAGAGCACTTATGGTTTATAACCGTGTGCAAAGACACTGGTTCACATCTCCCAAATTTACCTTTTTTATATCATCACATTCAAAATTCCTCTTCCATTTTTTTTTTGTAAAGGAAAATTAATGCGAACCAAGTTTGTCAAAATTCATTGGCCTGAAAGTGTTAATATTGATTTCTCTGGGGGGAAAGGGAAAAGAGAGAGGGGGGGGGGGGGGGGGGGGGGGGGGGGGGGGGAGACCACAAATGTAAACTAAGTTGGTGGATACATAAAAGTTTTAAAAAAAAATTTTCAAGTTGCCAATTAGTTCACCTGAATCTCCCAATAAGTAAAACCAGGCCCTGTTGTTCATGCCAACACCAACGTGGTACGGTCCAACTGCTAGAAAGGAAGGCTCCACCTCCACCTGGATCGTTATGGGTTCCTCCTGAAAACAATGCAGTTTGTTTATAAAGTTGCATCTTCCTGTGTGAACACATTATTAGGTGAAAATACATCAGTCCTGTCCAATATTAATTAAAAACATCAATTCTCAATGTTATTAACCAAAATAAATTAACTGTTTCCATCATTAAAGAAACAAAAAAATACACCATTCCTCACCATTATTAACCAAAAATATTTCAATCCTCTCTTGTTAAATAGACATCAATTTTATCTATTATTCACTGAAAATTTATCAAACCCTTTCAACAGTAATTATATTCATCAATCCTTTCAGTTACAAACTAAGGATACAAATCTTCCCCAATTAGTCACATAAAACTACCCTGTTATGTCCATTAACCATTAAATTTTTCAATTCTCTCCCTTATTCAAAGAAAATACAGAAGTTCTCTCTTATTAACTCTTTGAGTCCCAGAGGGTTTAGCATCACAGGTCCAAGGGGTAGTTAAAAAAGACGTAAAATCGGCATATCATGCGTTCATTGGGCTTCCAGGCAGTAACCTATAAACGTATGATGCGTTCCTTGGGACTCAAAGAGTTAACCACAAAATACATCAATTCTCTCTAGGTAAATTTAAAGTTACTAACTCCAAATATTATCAAAAGGCACAAATGAATTAATATCAGTTAACCAGGTAACTGCAGATGTAACTTTATAGCAAACAGGTCACTCTATAGTTGTTCCTGTGTGAATCATAGAATGTACTTCACTGTCCCTTGTAAAAAAAAAAAACAAATTGACACAGACTGCAGTCTCAGCAACTCCAACAGCATTCATGCATATTAATGCATAAGGCAGCAGTCAGAAGTATCAACACAAATACTCCGACACTAGAAATGCAGTTAATCCTTAACAGAAGCAGCAGTTACAACAGATCCTTAGTTGCACACACAGTTAATCACATAAGGCACCACAAGTTCTCTGGCGACAGGCCACTCATCATTATTTTTTTTAATCTTCAGCTCACAAGACAAACATTCAACCCAGTAGCTGGGCGACAGAACTATATCCTTTCAGTCTACATATGGAGGAAAATGCAACAGCTAACTAATGTCAGAAGCAAAAACTTCCCACCACTAAAAACAGTAAACTGCCTATCTGCCATATTGACAGAAAGCAGCAAACAAATTAATATGTCATAGATGACATCGGTGGAGTGAGAGATTCACGAGGTGAATAAAATATGCCATAACTGGGCAGGACAAACAAAAGGAAAACATGATAATAATGTAACTAGAATGTCTTTGCACTGGAACCCACAGGGTCACAAAAATAATAGTAGACCGCAAACAGTTACAGAAAAGAATTGATGACTGAGATTAATCAGATAGAGAAGATGGAATGAGATGCACACAGGGCAAAGTTACATTAACTGAGTTGGCCTTTGAAAATACTGAGGGGGGGGGAGACAGAAACAGAAGTGGGCAGATGAATTTATCAGGGTACAACAATGTTGATTATGTTAACAAATATAAAGAGTCAGCATACTCACCGCAAACTAGCAAAACATTCATGAATGATAATCATATATTTCTAAAAGGAATGATCATTAACAGTTGGTAAAAAAAATCAAGTAAAAGAATGGTTTGGATGGATTTTTGGTCAGGCAAAAATGCTATAAATATTCATCTGTGGGTGGAAATATTAAACTTTATCCAGAGAATACGCCTATTTGTTTTGCTCTTTTCAGTCTCCGTCAAGCCTTTAGAGACTGAGAAAGTTAATGTGATGCACATAAGTCTTCTTCCTCTGTGTTTGTCCTTAGAAGGGTGGTTGGAAATTTGTGTTTCACAGCTAGGCTGTAGCAGCTGCACCTTTTCAGCCCAATACATCTGATTTCAGCAAACTCATTATTAGTCACTTAGGACATGTTTGACAGGGGGCAGTGGGTCTATCCGTCTGATCCTGGAATCCACCAGCAAAAAAAACCTTACAGCAAAAACATTACCTGGGCAACACTGTCTTCTACAGTGACCTCAAGCAATGAGGTCAGGTAAGCGATGCGGGTCTGGTGTGTTGAGGACAACATTGGCAGACAGACCAGGTAAACATGGAGGCTTCCCTTAGGAGTTGACACTGCCAGCAACTGGCCATCATCAGTCCAGGAAATTAGGTCAAGGCCACGTTCTTCCTCCAAGTTAATGATTGCATACATTTCCTTCAGGTCAGAAAGGTCATGTATTTTGATGCTGTGGACATAATACCAATAGTCAGCCATTACTGCCTCCTTTTACCACTTTTTCCTGTGTTTTGTTTGTTTTGTTTACTTTGTTTGTTTGTTTGTCTGTTTGTTTGGTTCATTGGGTGGGTGGGTGGGTGTGTGTATATGTGTGTGTATGTGTGTGTGTGTGTGTGTGTGGGAGAGAGAGAGAGAGAGAGAGAGAGAGAGAGAGAGAGAGAGAGAGAGAGAGAGAGAGAGAGAGAGAGAGAGAGAGAGAGAGAGAGAGAGAGAGAGAGAGAGTAGTGCATGCCACCATGGACTGTGCAGGTTGAGATTTTTTGTTTCTCTCCTAACAGAAAAAATCGCCAACTTTACCAAAGATTCAAACCCATATCTCCTGCACAAGAGCCCTGCATTCTTAACCCTTCAGTCAGCCTCTTCTCATAAAAAATGATACAGCTACTTTAGTACTGTTTTACTGTTCTTCCCGTTATAACTCTAAACTCTATCCACGCCTTACAATCAAGCTATGGAATGATAGCAAATTCCTCTTTGAGAGCACCCATCTGGATCAAGTGAACAGCAGCAGACATCCCTGTCAGAACCTGTGTAGACAGTCAGCAGGAAAGAATTAAAGCAGACATTCCTGTCAGTGCTTCAGTCTAAGATTCTTCTTCCTACAGTCCATGCCAGAGGGGCATTAAAGATCCTGCCTGTCCATAGAATTCTATCCAGTCTGTGCCAGAGGGGCATTATAGATCGTGCCTGTACATAGAATTCTATCCAGTCTGTGCCAGAGGGGCATTATAGATCGTGCCTGTACATAGAATTCTATCCAGTCTGTGCCAGAGGGGCATTATAGATCGTGCCTGTACATAGAATTCTATCCAGTCTGTGCCAGAGGGGCATTAGAAATCATGTCTGTCCATAGAATTCTATCCAGTCTGTGCCAGGGGGGCATTAGAAATCATGCCTGTCCACATTCTATCCAGTTTGTGCCAGGGGGGCATTAGAAATCATGTCTGTCCATAGAATTCTATCAAATCTGTGCCAGGGGGCATAAAAAATCATGTCTGTCCTCAGAATTCTATCCAGTCCATGCTAGAGGGGCATTAGAAATAATGCCTGTCCACAGAATTCTATCCAGTCCGTGCCAGAGGGGCATTAGAAATCATGTCTGTCCTCAGAATTATATCCAGTTCATGCCAGAGGGGCATTAGAATCATGTCTGTCCACAGAATTCTATCCAGTCCGTGCCAGGGAGCATTACAAATCATGTCTGTCCACAGAATTTAGTCTCCTTTTTTGATATCCAATGACCATTAAACCTTGCCAACTACTCATACACATACACACACAAAGTAAACAGACATGGTGAAGGCTCTCTGGGATCAACTGGACAGTGCAAGAGAACAGGCAGAGAATCCATACACTGAAAAACTCATTCAACAGAGGTGAGTAGAGGTTTGAAAGATACTCATTATTGGGGAAACATAGGCAGGCTTTTAATCAGGCTGCAACTGGTATTATTAGTATGCTGACTCTTCATTGGCTACTGAAGAAGGGGATGGATCATGTATGGGAATGTCACAAGAGCACTGATGTTAATTCTTGATTCATTCATAAATAGATTCATTTAAGAAAATAAAAAGTCATACGTCCAGAGAAAGACCAAGAAAGTGAGACACAGACATTCTCAAAAGTATGCAAACTGACAATGATGCTAAACAACAGAGGCAACACATCTAGCTTTCAATCCCAAACAGTCTTGTTCATCGTTTACATTAAATAACAAGTGTGGACTAACAGAAAATGCATTTAGACAACTGAACAGAGCTTGAGACAGACCAGGAACAAAACAGAAAAGTAACATAAGAGAAAAAAAACCAAGGTCTACGGGTGAGGCTGCCATAATGACAAGAAAAAGAAAGAACCTTATACCTCCCTCAACAACTGAACCTGTAAAAGAGGAAGGGAAAAAGAGGAAGAAGTGGATTAAACAGAGACACAAACTATATGGCACTAGACAAAAAAAATAGTTTTCAATAATGTGATTAGATGCAAATAAAAACATAAACCATACCAATTATCACCACAAGATGCTGCCTTGCCAAGAGAGGTTGAAATTGCCACACTGTTCAGAGAGTTTTTATGATTGCGAGCTTGAAAACATTCCTGCAGAAACAAAATTTCAAATCCTCACAGAACTTAGGAAAAGTAATTGTGTGTGTGTGCCTGCATTTGTGTGTACGTGTACTTGAACGAACAAACAAATTTTTTTTGGTACTCGCACCAAGGAATAAATTTTATTTTCAAAAGGTCACAAATTAGGCACGCAGGCCGTGTTACATTATGCCCATCCAAACACCCATCTTTCACACTGCTGTTGTATTTTTTAAATAAAAAGTGGTATAACAAGTGGTAAACAATAGTAACAATAATAATTATATCTAACAGCTGCAATAGTGAAGTGGCTAGACACCTGCTTGATGGCCTGAAGATGTCGTGTTTTAACCCTTTTGCATCGAGACACCACAAAACCAACACTTCCAGTTGGGCTCACTTTCCCGTAAGTATCACTTTTCCGACTAGCCTATAGTGACCTGTTTCTGTGGCGAAGTGGTCAACCTGTTTGCCTCGCGCTCTAAAGGTCATGGGTTTGCTCCACAGCTGCACCCTTCAGTTCATGAGTGCAAGTTTTACGGAGATGCCTGGGGATCATCATCGGAGCTCTGTGGGGCACTCTCGGGAGGCGGCTAGCCACTCTGGGGAGAGAGACCAGCCAAACAGCTTTTTTTAAAGGCCAACTTTATGATAAATTTCCCCGTAGCCTTGACAGTAAGGGTCACACAATGAGTCACCTGATACATATGTTTTCTTTTTTCTCCAGGTACTGGGTAATATATTTTGTTTAATGCTTCACCCTGTACATGGTAATTGATTAATTCATACCTATATATATATTTATATATATATATTTTTTTCATGTCATTCATCCTTGAGTAGTACAGTGTAGTACATACTCTATAATAAGTCATGTACAAAGTCTGTACATCATTCCTAATCCTAGCAAATTCTGTTTATGCTAAAGCAAGAAACACCTGTACTAATCCTAGCAAAAGACACATGTCCTAATCCTAGCAAAGTCTGTCTGTTCTAAAGCAAGCGTTATCCTAATCCTAGTAAAGTCTGCATATTCTAGAGCAAGCCACCTCTCCTAATCCTAACAAAGTCTGCCTTTCTTACAGCAAACCCTCTATCTTAATCCTAGAAAAAAATGCCTGTTCTAAATTAAATCACTTGTATTAGAGCAAATCACAGGTTTCTTCTGCAAGTTATGTGTTTTTACAATATGTTACCTGTCCTATCTCCTTAGGATGAGTTGAAATGACCACAAAATATCCATGAGAAAATCCGATCAGGATGTAGCCATCTCCAAACCTGAACAGCAGTATTATGGAAAATATTAGAAGAGCACAACTTCAAGTTAAAATCATTTCACAACGTTACTCTGTATTCTAAGCTCAAAAATACTTTGCATTAAGCGGATAGACCAAAATCACAAACGCTAAGGTATTAGAAAAAGCAGGTTTCACTATAGTTTTCTCAGTGCTCAGTCCCTGAAGTCTCAGGTGGCTGGGTCACATTTAGAGAATGGAGGCCTTCACTATGATAAAAAAATGTGTGCAAACGGGACATGACAGATACAGGTAGTGTAGGCAGATTTGAGGGAATAAAATGTCAAAGACTGTGTTGCATGGAGGGGGAACATCAGGAAGAGAATGGGGAAAAGGGGGGCAAAAATTACTGCATATAGGTTGAGAGCCTGAGTGTTTGAAAAGAAGGACACTAAATATATGTGATGGCAACAACATCCCTGAATTCCTATACTGTAACTGTGTTCTTAATGTGGGCGGGTCTTGCTACTCACACCCGCCATAGATGTAGCCTGTAATTCCCTTGTCTCCCCATTGCACAAAATAACACAATCATCTGAAAAGATGGAAAAGGTGCCCAAACTAACAAGCTCAAAAAGTGTATATATTCACGTTGCCAAAACTAACAAGCTCAAAAAGTGTATTTATTCAATGTGCCAAAACTAACAAGCTCAAAATGTGTATATATTCACTTCCAGCTTCACATTTACCTGTTAGTTAGTTGTGTATCATTTACATGAGGTTGCAGAACCAACTCCAGCATTTTGTTACTGTTGTGGTTTTTCTAGGCAAATTCAGTAGTTCAATTACGTATGCAAGAGCTAAAATTTATACAGAATTGCAAACTCATCTGACATCATCATGCAGCAGTCCTTTGCAGAACGATGCTCTCATCACAGTCTGCTGAAAGAAACTGTCTCTCGTCAGCTCGCCAGCTCTCTGCCTAAGTACTTCCATACTCAAGGAGTCACTTATATCCTGTGCCCATCTTCGTCTTGGTCGGGCCCTGCCCCTCTTTCCTGGTACCATGCCTTCTGTTATTATTACAAACTACTATACATAAAATTTGCCTAGAAAAACTACAACAGCCAAAAAATGCTGGGGTAGGTTCTGCAATGTCCTGTAAAGGATACGCAACTAATTTTATAACCTGCAAATCCTGTGCAGGTGAAAATGACTTTTAGGTTTAACTCTCTGAGTCCCAAGGAACCCGTCATACATGCATAGATTCCTACCTAGAAGCAATGAACGCAAGATGCACCGATTTTACGTTTTTATTGACTACCCCTTGGGCCTGTGATACTAAACCCCCTGGGACTCAAAGAGTTGAGTTTAGGTTTAGACGATGGACCAACATCATGGCACAAGGATAGTAACCCATAAGTGCTCCGTTCTACTTCTGACTCAAGCAAGAAATGTTCAAATAAATATAACAACACACCGACAATGCTCCTACCACTTGTAGGCCACGATGGATCCATACTGGCTCTGGAAAGCCAGTTCCACAGGGCTGTCTGGCTCATTGATGTTATAGAGCAGCAGAGTCTTCTTGGACACGTTGACACTCACCTGGGAACAACGGGCACAAATCTAACACTAGACTGATGTACGAGGGAGCTTCAAGTAAAAACCTTAACAGTGTGACAGAAATGACAATAACCAGACTGATATACAAGGGGCTTCAAGTGAAAACCTTAACAGTGTGACATAAATGACAATAATTACACTGACAATGATACAAAGGGGCTTCAAGTGAAAACCTTAAAAGTGTGATAGCAATGACAATAATTACACTGACAATGATACAAAGGGGCTTCAAGTGAAAACCTTAAAAGTGTGATAGCAATGACAATAATTACACTGACAATGATACAAAGGGGCTTCAAGTGAAAACCTTAAAAGTGTGATAGCAATGACAATAATTACACTGACAATGATACAAAGGGGCTTCAAGTGAAAACCTTAAAAGTGTGACAGAAATTATGATAACATGCCACTGTCTTGTAACCTATCAATACTGTTGTTAAGGATGTCAAAGAGTGTTAAGTGTGTGACACCACGGTGCAGACGAATATGATGATGTCATAATGAAAGTTTAGATGGCCACCCCACTTTTGACATGCACCAAAGAGGAGCAGATTCTGTTATAATCTTTTGTTTTCAATGATGGGTGAAATTTCTTGAATAATGAAGGTCCTATCTGGTGACACATGCCTGTACATCAAGTGTATAAGTGGAGTAGGAAGTTTCAAAACAGGGTGACCTATGTCTGCCTGGCCCAGTTGTGAACTGTCCGCCACAGACTTAAAATTTTGAGGAAGGTGAGAAGAAGTTCTGAAAGATAATCTTCTATTCACTCTTCTTGGTAAACTCCAGCAGAAAGTCCAGACTGTTTGTCCCCTTCTGAATTGTAGTCTCGTTCTAGAAACTGAGTTTTATGTGCATATCTGTTCTACAGATCTGGTTTATGTGTATACATACTGTTGGTTCCTTGCCTCTTGGGCAGATGTACTCCAACTTCGAAGAAATCTCCTAATTAGTTGAGTCTTAAGATATGCTTGTTAGAGAGACAGTGGGTCATCTACTCTTGTTTTCCCCCACAATAGGACCCGGAACCCACATAGGAAGGGACGATTTTCAACGACAGAAGAATGACAATAAAGGAGTCAGCGAAAGGCATTTTTGCAAATTTCAGAGGCACAGGAACGGACCAATTATGGGGTGATACATATGCATGAAGTTAAAACCATGACTATTGACTGGCATCAACACAGATGATCTTCACAAAGCAAATATTAAATTACACTGCTTTCAAATCAGAGAATGAACTAGAATTATAGCACATTACAGACAATGTTAATATTACAGAGAATTCTATTATTGATACATAATAAATGATGATAATAGTGAGATCACGAATGAGGTCATACGAAATATGGTGGGCACAGAACCAATTCTAAATTACATATAAAGACAGAAAATCAAATGGTTTGCCTACTTAAGAGAGAATGCCTCCTGATGATATACCATACAAGGCATATACCAAAAGAGGAGCGGGACTTAGAGCAAGAGGTAGATCAAGAACAAGATGGGAAGATAACATCAGAGAAAATCTACAGCACCACGATGTGTCTATGGTCGAAGCAGCCAGAAGAGCACGAAGCAGGACCTTATATCTCCCTCGACACCTGAAGTGTTAAAAGGAGACGTAAAGAAGAAGAAGAAGAAGAATAGTGAGAAAAGCAATTGGAAAGTAAAACCCAAAAAGATGGGTGTGACAAAGGCACAGATACGATCTGTATTTCTGGTGATCATGTGATATGTGAACCATGACCATCTATGCTTATTTATATGATACATAATGAGGAGAAGAATAAAGACACACAGTCAAGACAAACATACAGTGTTCTCGCCAACAGAACTACGCTCATCCCCTTTCATCTCAGAGAATTCAATGTCCAAGGGTTCTGCTCTCAGCTGCGTCTGTCTCAGTGTGTCGCCATCAACATTACTGACACTTATTGTCTTATCATCGCTGCCTAGTGCCAGTAAATTCTCTGCACTCCAAGCTCCGCAGGTAATTTTTTTGGTATGTTTTCCAATAATAGATATTTTTCTGTAAAAAAAAATAGTTAAATAAAATGTTACAATTAACAAATTTCTCCTATCTTGGACAGGTAATAACAGATGTGAAACAGAAGTCAAAAAGAGAAAAGGAGTTGCCAAAATATATTTTCAACATTATGAAAGGGAGGGAAATAGACCTACTGGCGGCCCCTAACAAGCAAGTCACAAGAGTTGACTAATTAGGGGGTTCCTTAAAAGTTGGAGTGCATCTGCAAGACAGGCAAGGAACCAACAGTCTACATATAAGCCAAATGGGTAAAACTCACTTTCTGGAACAAGAAAGTGGACAGAAGTGCACAAAGAACCAAAACTTTCTGCCAAAGTTTACAGCCAGTGAACACAAGAAGAAAGAAGAAGCAATCCACAGCTCACCACTCAACGCAGTTGCTGGGCGACAGAACCTTTGCACTCCCTGTCCATAAATGGGAAATATGAATCAGCAAAAGCTAGATGGAAACAACTTTTCAGAACATCACAGGTCAGCCAGCAATCGCCCATTTTGGCCAAAAATATTATGCATAGTCCTGGACAATGAACAAGCTATTAGAAAATCACACTGAGTCTCTGGTAATGTGGATGTACAAAAAATGATATCTCATGGAAACAAGTACACAGTTTCTAAAAAGAAAATAATAATTAAAAAAACAAAAGTAAAGGTCCCTTTTCCATGCATTTAGGCGTATCGGGCATATAGGGCTAGACCTATATTTGTATAGACCAATAGGCACAAGATACATCACGCCGGCCGCCTTTACTTTCCGGAACTGTACCTGGTACCCACTCAAGACTTGGTCAACCTGGAAGTCAAGATCATTTTTGAAAAACCCACGTTGATGGTTGCAGATGAAAGTAACTCTGCAGAAGTTAGTAGGCAACCATGCACACTATCTGGCTACACAAAATAAGCAAAGCTGCTGGTGTGGATTTTACTAATGATATGAAAAGAACTGCATAGAATGGAATGGAGGAATAGACTGTGAGCCCTATGTGACACATGATGATGTTTAGGATGATGATGATATAAGAGAATTACTTTTCCAGTACTAACCTTGCTGTCTGGTGGTTGTAAATCAGCAAGTTTCCTTTGGCCGTCCCAACAGCCAGATATGCTCCAACCTTAGACCACAGTAAGAATGTCAACCCATCCCTGGCAAGAAGAACATTTTGTCATTATCTAATATAAGTCAACATGTATAAGCTGAGTTAAGAACCGACATCATAGCACCTGGGATGTTACCACAAGTACCTCATCCTCATCTTCAGCAGCCAGGCCAGAGTTCCAATTTTGATGGCACCATTAGCATCTTGCCATTCCCCTGAGTTCTGAGCTTCGGCCAGATCTCCTGATAACTCCCTGCTGCACCACTGTCCTCAGAC